TTTTGCAAAAATTATTGTATTTTTTCTACAGATATCCAGTTTGAAGTATTAGTTTACGAAATAAAAAAAAAATTGTATATCATGCGTAGTTTTTTCCCTCCCTTAAGTCAATTTAATTTTTTATAACATTTTAGTTGAATTAATAATATTTTATGTTGTTGTATTTTGAACTACTTCCAATTTTTGTGCCGTGACTTTATCGTTTCATTAAATGTCAAAGTGATTATAATTTTGTTGCAATATGCTCAACTTCATGACATTTAACGTAACAATACCGTAGCGTAATACATTTTCTATCATCTTTGCTTTTATGTGCTGTCTCGCTGATCTCCTTTTTATTGCGCGGTCCTTTTTTCATTTTTCATCCTAACAAAGCTGTGTTTCTTTTCTTCTCATATACCTTTTTCCACGCTACAACTATTCATATAAACTGTTTGCATGTAGACATACATACATATAAATATAAATACTATATTATTATTATTACATTCATTATTGCCTGAAAAATTCATTACACTTATGTCTATCACGCCTTTGAGAAAACTTAAACACTGCTAAACCCTAAACACAACGACTAGTTTATTTATATTGTATATGTATTATATATAATATACTAAAAAGCTCTTATATATTTTTGAAATATAAATATGTAAATATTTATCTGAGCTATGTAGTAAATTATATACATACAATGTATGTGTGTTTATTTGCTGGTTAATGTGCCGGCACACTAACTTTGTGTTCACATAGCGGCAATTAACCACACATTATATTCGCGGAAGTAACACATACATATGTCTATATGTAAGAGCACAGCAGTAATTTCCGCCACATGGCCGGGATCATTGCGGATTTAAATGTCGCGCGCACACTCACTAATTGGATTAATTCTGATGACCAACGTAGTAAGCCAGACGTTTAACATTCCTATGCTGGATAGGCCGAATTGATAATGTGAAAAGTGAGAATAAATTTAGTGTTGCAGTCAATTACTTTCGGAGTAATCAAATGTAATGCGAGGCTTACCAAATGCTTTCAATTTGTTTATAATTAAATGTATACTAAATGTTTGTGGAAAGAGAACTCGATTAAACCAAAAGAAATAGCACCTTTGAAATAATTGCTCAAACTTCTATGTAGGGTCTGAGGTCTAACATATGTACATACATAAATCATATATTCAAAAAAATGTTAATTTCGGTGACACCAAAGCTATAATAACCTCCACAAGCAAGAAAGTTTTCCATACAAGATTTTTTATCGTTCAGTTTTGTATGGCAGCTCGGATTCCGATAAATGTACTGGCTCTTGAGGAGAAAAAGGAGTGTTCAAAATTTCAGACCGATATCTCAAAAACTGAGAAACTAGTTCGCGTACATATATACAGACGGACATGGTTAAATCGACTCAGCTCGTCACTCTGTTCATTTATGTGTATAATACAAAGGTAATTTTTGACTAATGCATTATAATAATTTGACATTTTAGATTTTAGAAAGTTATTTTCAAAGGTATAAACAATCGAAATTTTTTATTATTATTATTTTTTTCAGAATTAGACACTCCGCGTGCGCCCTAAATTCAATTTTCGAGTTTATACCCCATAACACAGAAAACCTAACGAATAAAAAGATTTATCTATGTAGGAAGGACGAATTTAAAAAACCTAGCTACAGCAGCTGTTACCCGTGCCAAGCGGAAATGCAAACAAATCGCTTTATCACCTATCCTTTCGTAACATATATAAATGCGAAAACTATAGCAAGTTTGTATGTAAGCTTTGAATAATCACAAAAGTAAGCGGCAAAGCGGCGAGTGTTTGCAGAAGTTGCTAGAAAACACAGCACTTTTTATTTTTTTACGCAGGCAACTACATAATATAAAAGCAAGATAGCATTGTTGTCAGCTTCATACCAAAAATGCCTGCGTACATACACACATTGTAGTAAGAGGTTATAGAAATTTTAATACTTACCTTTGAAATCTTCAACTGCAACTGATTTCATTTAACTGCACACCTTTAGCGCCTTCGGCTACATACATACGTAGATACATATACGAGTATACTATATTTACTCAAATAACATTTTCAAAAATACGATCATATGCTTGTGCAAGCTCCTGCCATTGCAGCCGCGTAGTAAACTCGGTTAATGAAGCATCCTAACCATATTATCTAATAAACATTACTAATTGATAAAGAATGTCATTTATTTTTAGAAATTAAGTGAATTTAACACTACAATATTTTTGATTAAACACTTAATTTCTTTAATTTCCACTAAAAAATCAGAATATTCGCTAATTCCTCAAACCAAGCACGGAACAAAATGTGCGGCGTTTGAAATGGCGGCGGAAACTGAGCAAAGCGGAACTGGAAACAGAGTTGCCGGTATGTTTAAGAAGCAAATTATGTGTGGGATTAATTAGATGTTGATAATTTAAGTGTATATAACTATAATAATAATCTGACTCATATAAAAATTGGAGTATGTTAAAAAAATGGTTGGCTGAATGTTAAATAAAATAATTAATTTATGGTATATTGTATTTATAAGCTACTTATGTAACAATTAAAATTTTTCTAAGAAAAACGAAGTCTTTTAAATTGTATTATATTTTTATGTTTCGATAAAGATATGTATGGTATATGCTATATTAATACTTTCAATATGTGTACATATGTGTGATATTAAATACTTGTATATATGATTTAGAGTCTTGTCCGATATTTCGCGCCATCTGTAGTGCCTGGTTAAAATTTTGCAAAAGTGTTAGTAACGGTGTTTATTATCTTTAAAATTCTACACAAGGTAAAACATATTGAATAATTTAATTATATGTAATTTCAGAATTAATTCATAAAAATTATTGAGATTTACACTCAAAAAGCAAGTAAGAAATACATTAATTATTTGAAGTCCCTCTCACAACAATATAGTCAAATTAGGGATACATTATATTATACGGTTCGATCACCGTCGGTTATTGTAACGTCATTGGTAATTGTACCCTAAAACAATCCCAAACCAATAAATCAGTTTTTTTTTTTTTTAATTTTTAACCACCTTCTCTCATCTTAAATTATCGATTAACATCAATTGAGTGTCTTAGTTATAGTAAAAAAAATTTTATTTTCATACATATATATTTTTCTTAAAAAATATTGTATTAATCAAACAACACTTTTGAACATTGAAACTTTTTTAAAATGCATTTATGTAAAACTTAAAATAGTGAACGCCACAGCTTGCAACATGTCCAAGCATTAACCACACTATGCCTTGCTTAGTTTCCGCCGCCATTACAATAATAGCGCATTAATTTCGGACGCGTTTGTAAAAATTTGTGAAATTTGTAATTTTTTCATTAAATATCAATAAAAATTAAGTGTTTAGTGGCAAATATTGAAGCAGTGATGGTTTCGAGTGTAAATCCATATTCCTATACAATAAAAAAGTACCGCACAATTTAATTTGTGTGTAAAATTTATCATATTACGGAAACGTCTGTGAAGTACCCTTCTACTGTAACACGATATGACTTTCAACATCTTCACGAGGTCAGTCGTCCTAAAGCATCTCTTATAATGAAGCTCCCTGTAAAACTGTTGTAAAAAAATCTTGCTGGTATATATAATTCGGTTTGCTCTTTAATATTTAATAATTATAAAAGGACATCTAAAGGCATTCGTGTTAAGCTCAAAATATATTTATAGAGTTAGATATGCGCCCGCTTATATTCATGTGAACAGATACAATTCAACCAATAGTGCGAAGCAGGTACTTTAAAAATCGAATCAAGAAATTATTAATTAAAGGCACGTGTACACGAGATATGTCATACATATGTATATACATATATGTATATATATAAATATTGTGACGTCAAATACCAAAATACCATAAGTATGTACAAAATTACTTTGAAAGCGTTGAGTGGATTCATTTTTGGTGGTAGAGGATCCCCACTAGTAGAGTGTAAGGCCCGGCAAATATTAAATATGCGTATAAAACATTATTTAAATAAGCATAGTGTAAAACAGAAAGTAATTCTAAGATCAACCAAATCAGATATAGACCGAAATGTTATAAATTTATCGCTTCATGGATTAATTTAGGGAAAACCAAACCTTGGTAGTTTTATTGCCACTAATATTGCCTTAAACAGTGTACTTACCAAAATTTCGGTACCTGAAAGTAAGAGTGCATATAGGTCACATTCAACATGCTAACGTTTGCGTGTCCATAAAAATAAATTCTTCGGGAAAACTTTTAATAAATATTTAATAAATGCATTAAATACGTCAGTGAGTCGAATTCAAAGATTGTTTTAGAAATAACCCCCTCTTATTCACAATCCATGAGGAAATAAAACCTCTGAATATGTAATTAAAACAGCGTAATTTAACAATATACTAATTGGGGGTTTTCAAGTTAACTGACTTCAAAACTAATTTTATAGGACCTTTGATCATTGGCAATGATTCTAAGAGTTATCGATGAGATAACAAAATTTTAAGAAAGATTTTCTGGGAACACATTATAAAAATTATGAAAGAAAATTATGCTAAAAACGATAGACACTTTTTCTATAAATTTTTCGTTCTTGGGCGAATGCTGTAAGTACCTGCAAACCTTTACGAGTTAGTTAACATAAACTTATGTTATGATTATGTGATTCTAATATAATTGTGAGCAATTAGTTTCCATGACTTGACATTCCACAAATGTGACGTCTAATCGGTCTCATAAGCAAATATTACATGCAACCGATAATTTATTTCTTCCAAAATATTAAAAATTATATCAACCGATACCTAAAGCCCGATAAAATGTTATCTCGTATAAATTTTACAGCCGAATATTTTTTCGCTAAAGAAACGTATTTCCAAAAAAATGGCTTTCACGTTTGATTAAATAAATTCAAATATGGCAGCATTGAAAGGCTTGCGTACAATCAAAACAAAGAACAGCTGATTTCTTTGGTAAGTATTTATTTATTTTCGGCATATTGATGCGTTTTAATGAGGTACATAACCGCAGTGAAAAGAAAAAAACATGTAAACAAAATGTACTCCTTGTAGTATCGACTGAATAACTGAGAGCAGAATATTCTAAAAGGAAATATTTTGGCGCGCACAGGTCTCCGCAAAGCGTTTTCGTTTCGCATCACTTGTAGACTCGTCATCGTGGTAGTACTTTCGCCACGGCCTAAAATAACCACAGGCAGGTGTTATAAACGTAATAAAAGCAAATGTAAACAAAATTATGAATACCTATAATTATATAAATTTTATCGTTATATTCTAGAACAACGACAGGCAAAGAAGTGTGTATACTAAAGCTGAAAGGGGTTGTACAAACACTAGACATCGTGAAGATTGTTGGCCATGAGCGATGACATTACACCCGGCAGTGTGTTCTGTACTGTGTTTGCCAATTACAAATTGTCGTTGCATTAGTCAAAGTTGCGCTACAGCAGCTGCTGCATACGCATTAATGTTTTGTCTTGCCAGCAACCAAGCGGACATTCGCAAAATTTCGTTACAATAGAATTTAATTTAATTGAAGTCAAGTGCCATAATTAATGAGTTATTTCAAAATCAAAACAAAACGAAAACGTCGGCGTAGACAATGGCAAATGAGCCCAAAGCCCAACGGCAGACATTCGCGGCGGATATAGCAAACCAAGCCACATAAGTTTGCCACACGTTAACGCATTTAGACGTTCTCAACCATACGCAAAGTATGTAGCAAATTTCAATTTAAGGAAAGCAAACAGAAATATTTATTTGTGCAAGCAAAGTGCTTTTAAAATATACTCAATCCGTTTGGAGTGATTTTCTACGTGGAATAATTCATACAATCATTGTAAAAAACTATGTTATTTACGCGCATTAATATTATAAAAATTGCGATTTATGTGTAAACAAATTTGTTAATATATGGAACCTAGTTGTTATATAATATTTTCATCCGCACTGGCTACATTCCTGCTGCTAAATTTATATAACGAAATATAGATGAAACGTGAGTGCTAATGGTAGAATTTGAAAAAATTTAGAAAATTAATACAGCATACATCGAAATAAAGTGTTATATACTTGGAATTAGCAAATTAAATATAAGCGATAATTTTAAATAACTGCCATTTAAAACCAAACCACTGATAAACACGTGATAGGGAAATTTGGCCAACCCAAAACATAATTGAACTATTAACTAATATAAAAGTAATCGTCAGACTTAATGCCACGTGTATTTTTTACTGTGAACCCATGCATGTTTATTATAAAACTAATTAATACAGCAATAAGAACAACTGTTACAGGCCTACATCGCCAAATTTAAATTTGAATTAAAAATAAATTATTTGAAACGTTTAACACTTCACCTTCATGTACGACAGCCAAGGAAAAACCGAGGCGAACAAACATAAGTGCGGGAAAATGTGCGAAAATTTTAAGGGCCATAATTAAAAATGAAAATTGTGATACAATCTCGTTGTTGCTGTTGCTATTAGCCATACGTTGATGAGTTTGTCAACAACAAAGAGCGACGTTACACCACAAACGAGTGCAGCTGCCGGCAAATATTGCATGTAATGACGCTGTCTGTGATGACGGCGCACAGAATATATCAACAAAAATTACAAAAATAAAGTCGCAATTTCGTAGCGAAACGCCAATGACAACACAAAGCATTCAGCAGTCATTTGTAATTTGTTGGTTAAAAAAAAAAATAAATAAAAATTTTTGCCGCCTGGTTTACATACACAAATAGTATTTATGCATAGACTTCTTTCAGCTAAAATTGGTTACCGAGAGTAAAATACAATTTGTTGATAGGTGAGTGACTGCATCATGCTAATAGATGAATGAAAATGATCATCATCAACAACGCAACTGAATAATGTTTAATTGCATTTCATTTCCTTAAATATAGTTAAAAAGTAATTTTACAAATTTCACAGTAATATAGCATAATTAGCGTGGCAATGGCTGCAAACAAACGCACTGTTGGCATAATTGTTGCACTGGTCATACTCGTGTGCGTAGTAGCTGGCGCCAATTTGTATTTTATGTATTATCTAAACGTTGATGAAGCTCCACATGTAAGCAGCACGCGTGCATTGGAGAATATGATACGCCAGAAAATTCGTGAACTTCATCCTGTGTATTTAAATCGTAATCCTCGACTGTTTATGTACCGTAATAAGTTGTTGAAAAACTATAAACCTGCGCCGTATGAAAATGCAACCGTCCTCTGGGATATTGCCAACTGGGTAAATATTATAAAGCACAAATGACCACTGTTAATTTTTGAATATTTAATATTTCAAAAACGCTTTTTTTTCAATTTAAGTGGCCACAAGAAAATGAAATCTATCCAATTTACGACACCTCCATGGCGCAACTTCTGCAAACATTGCGCTTAGAACCGATAACTAAAGTCACAAATTTGGCAAAAGGTACACAACTAAAATTGCTCGTTCGTTTGGCCAATAAACAAAAAGTGATCTTCAAACCGCAATGGTATGAGCGTGATGCAGTAATCGAAGGTGCCGTTTACGCAGGCAAAGATCGTCACACTGCGGAAGTATACGCATTTTTTTTGGGTGCTGTACTCGACTTCAGGTGGACGCCTATAGTGGTAGGACGTGTCGTCAACTTGAAGACAGATATTTATGACAAAGGTGATAGCGAGCTGAAGAATTCCATGACAATCACAGAAACGGAAAATGGTACCGAACAATATTGTCTCTTCGGCAAATGTCATTATTGTAACGAAGAGGAGACTGTATGTGGTGATGAGCGGAATAACATAGAGGGTGTTCTCATATATATTGTGCCGGGCTCTTTGGCAAAACGCCGATCACCTTGGCAACGTACATACAAAGAGGATAAACGTGCACCCTGGGAGGATGATATGAACTATTGCAAGTGAGCAGAAACGTAGAAAGTGGCATATGTTTACAAATTTATGCATATTGTGTCTGTAATTTAATATTCTATTGACATTATTCGCTATAGGCCACTTAAAGATAAAATGGAAACAATGCGTTTATTGGACCTCATTGATGCTGCAATTTTTGATTATCTCATACAAAATGGTGATCGACACCACTATGAGACACGTGAAGAGCGCTTAGTGCTCATAGACAACGGTAAAGCATTTGGAAATCCAAACAAGGATCATCTAGACATATTGGCGCCACTATATCAGTGTTGTCTGTGAGTGAATTTAGTTAAAATATTTAATTTTGTCAACTTTGAAAATTATGTGAATTTCTATAGCATTCGAAAAACAACCTGGGACCGGCTACAGGTATTTTCGGGTGGTGTTCTCACCGAGCTCATTGATCGTCTTTCCAAACACGACGCGCTTTTTCCCTTGATAACAGATAAGCATAAAAGAGGCGTAGAACGTAGGCTACTGGTTGTCTATGCAGTTGTCGAATATTGTATGGACAGGGAAGGTGATAAAATGTTTAAGCAGTTATAACCGTATGCAGCTAATTGCCAATTTTAAATAAGTTGTTTGTATGTAAATGTTTATTCAAAACCCTATATTTTATTACCTAGTAGTATGTAGTTTAGTAATGTACATATTTAAATTTAAGTGGGTATAAAATTTCAGCAAAAGTATTTTCACACTGCTCTCTTGGGTAATTTTGTAAAATATATAACATATACACATACATGTAATTTACGTACATATGTAAGCTTGTTGAAGTTTGTTGAAGATAATGTAATTTATTAAATTAAATTTAAAAAGAAATCAATTTCATGTTACTTTACGTCCAAGACTTCTAATGTAGTTGATCAAGCAAGTTGATATATAGTCCTAATAAAGTCATGTTACTATTTTTTACCTTTAACATTGCTAAATGTGAATAATTTGTTGAACTTTTTATTATTGGCCTTATTTGAATTGCTCTGCAAATAAAAAAAAAAAACAATAAGTGAATAAACTTGACCTTGCAACCAATTTTCAAGACATACTTTTCCATGAAATTGTGGCTTCAACTCCATGCCCTTAGCACGTTGTGCACCACCTTGAAATTTTCGAAAGTCCACATTTTTGTAGTCGAAATTTTTCACATCAATCGGTTTGCTTGAGGATTGGTTACGATTCTGACGATTTTTTATATTCTTATTTTTAAACTTTTTTTTGCCAATTTGACTTTGTCTTTGCTGCTGTTTGGCATTTGATTGTGCCGTTTGAGCTTGCGATGTGGATGGTGCCTCTTCAGGTCCACTATCCGAGTCATCACTTATTATGTGCACAGTATTGTTTGATTTGTCAGCAGCTACACTGGTATTGGCAGGCTTTTGTGGTTCTTTGCTCATTTGTTTATTAGCCAGCCGCAATTCCTTTTTAGTGGGCGGTAAATTAACAAACTTTAATTTATCGTCATTTGGTGTATCGGTCTTGAAACGCTTCGCTTTAGGTTCCTCTGTCTCTTTTGACTGGCTCTTTTTCGCGATTGCCTCTGCGTGTGTGCGTTTTAGTATTTCTTTTATCGGCAAGCTGTAATCACCGTCGTCAGTAGGCTCAATTTTTAATTCAGTCTATAATAAAAATATGAATTCAAAATCAAATTATGCATTCAATCAACATATACTTGTATTATTTAAATGTGTATTTTACCGCTGTTTGTACAGGCAGTGGTGTTGCAGTCGGACAGAGTTGCCGTTTCTTATTTTCAACTTCAATGCGTGCCGCTTCTTCAGCCTTTTCTTTTTCTACCAAAGGTAGCATAGCCAGGTAGCGTTGATATGGGCTGACGAATTTTATGTTGCTATGTAGTTTTTTTTGTTTTCGCTGATCTTCATCCTATTGTCAAAAGGAAAAAATTAAATTAGCGCAGTTGAACTCAACATTTATCGAAATGCCTACATCATCTTCAGCGGGCTCTGGCGTGTCATAAATACTCAGTATGGGTTTCGCCAACTTTACGTTAGCCTTAGCTGGTGAGGTCAATAATGGGTTTTTGCGGAAGTTAAGTAATGTTGGCAAATCATCACGGAACTCCTCGTTGTGCGAGAGATCATGCGGGCAATATAACTTACTATTATAATCCTTAGTATTGTTGCTGGCAACGCGATGGATTGTTTCCGTCTCCAGTACAGGCTGAAATTGAAATTGTCAATAATAAAAATTATTGCTTTTGTAGTTCTTAACAGATTAATAGGTATAAATATGTATGTATTCACCTTCACCAATGGCTGTTCACGTGCTCGCAGCACGATTTGATGTAAGATGTGTAGATTTTGTCTAACTAATGGCGGTATGGGATTGCAGCAAGCAAGTATACCTTGCATTTCACGCGGCAAGCTCTCGGAAATCTGCAATAACATGTGATTGGGTAAAACATATCCGTAACTTTCATCTTCCTGTCGAGCAACGTTGTCACGCCATTGGAAAAATTCACGTAATGCGTACAGTTGTCGATTATCGAAAACGCGTTTCGACTTGCGATAAAGATCCATATGTGAATCTGCTGTTACACGTGGTTTTACATAACGTTTTTTGCAGATTTCAGCACTACGTTGATAAATGTTTCGCAATAAGTTAGACTGTTGATTTCCCGCGTCGAGCAAATCATTGGTTAAGCGATCGAATATATAGAGAAGGTAATGTGTGTCCTGGCGAGCATATGATACCAACTCTTTTGGTAATGGACGTATACGCCAATCAGCCAATTGGAACGTTTTATCGACATCGAGTTCACAATAGTGCTTCAGTAAATACGCCAACGATAATCGCGCATAATTCAAAGCCTTAGCTGCTTGATGTGTATCAAACATATTAACTATATATAAGGAAAGATCACGTTGTAACCACTCAATGTCCATATCGGCGCCGTGAAATATTTTAACAATTTTTGGGTCCGTAAATACCGTGTTTAGTATGTGCATATCGTCGCGTAATTCTAAAGCATCGAAAAGGTAGTCTTTGTTACGAGTGGAAACTTGTACAAGACAGGTAAATCCCTGAAATGTGCGGTAAGAATGGTGTTCCACATCAATAGCAATTGCACGGTGCTTACGCAAATCTTCAACCGCGGCATTCAATTTCGGCACAGTATTCACATAAAGGAGTTCTGTGTCATCTAAATTTTTAGGCTCCTTTGGATTTGTGCGTGAGAGTTGCGCGGCAGGTACCTCCCATTTCATTAATTCGAATTCATATGGATGTAAATAACTGTAATTTATAAAAATTTCAACTATCTAACAACAAAGTGTAACTAAAAATTACCTAGCAATATTGCCACTTTCGTCATATTCGGGTAGCACGGCTAACGGTTTTAACGAATTCGGTTTATCTTTTATTCTTGGTACGAACGGTGTCAGAGCACTATTATCCACTGCAACTTTAAATTTTAATTGTGGTCGTGCGATATTCTTTGCAGTTATTAAACGTGCAGCTAATGGTGATTGTTCATTTTTCTTTAAATTCCAACTACCAGCACCTGAGCCAGATTTGGGTATATTGTTGGCTATATTTAGGTGGGACTCTACCACAATAGTTTGCGGATTTTTCTTTATACCAGCTAGTTCATCCAAATTCGAATTCAAGCGTTCCATTATAGCATCATTACACTCCAGAAGCATTTCGAATTGTTCATCTTGCTGGCGGCTAAAAATATTTTTGGTAAATATCAAATATTTTACCAAAATACTTTTAAAAAATGCCACTGACACTCACCGTTGTATGTTACCCTTAACATTTTGCCATTTCAAAACTTTAGACATCAGCCCAAATATGCGGTCCGATTGTGCATCGACAATTTTACCATATGTCGGGTACGCGCAATATAAATCACGTGAAGCTCCTTGTGGAAACGAATTTACAGCTTTGGTAGCTTCCACAATTTCAGCTAAGCCATTCTATTATATAATATTCAGAATTAAATATATTTTCTTATTGAAAGCATATTATATATACAGACTTTTGCAAATTCATCAATTGACGCAAAAGCTCCAATTGGTGTAACACTCGGTGTTTTTTTCTTTTGTACAGGAGTTGAATGTGATGCTTCGGTTTCATCTTTTGTTGCTGTTGTGGGCGTCATTTAGCTATTTTGATAAATTTAATAAAATTCCATACAATCTAAACCACTAAAAAACCGTACTTGTTTTTATAAGTTGATACACGTTTATTTTTGACATATGTGAACAAAAACAAATGGAATAAGGCATATTTGCAGGTATTCTTTAGCAGCGACATCTGCAGGAAAAAATTAATGACGAAATACAGTCAGAGGACAAGTAAACAGGTATTAGAAAAAAAATAGTAATTTTTGTAAATTAATATTCCAAGTATTAATTGTTATTAGTTTTTCCTTTAAAATATGATTAAAATTTTATTATTTATTTGCTAATATGTAAATGTATGGTTTAGGGCCCCCAACGCAGGAGCCTCAATTATTATTACAAATCCGTGAACACTAAAGTCGATTTTTTTCAATAATTCAATTTTCTTTTTGAATTTATCGAAAAGGAATTTTTATAAAAATATGAAAAAATAAATACGCTTTGTAAATGTTCCTTCCCGTCGAACTTCTGTTGGAGCGACCAGAGTTTTTTTTTTTGAAGCGCGGCCGAAGGCCCCGGTTCAGGAAAGAGTTCTACGATTTCGTCTATACTTTCAGATTTGAGCCCTCCTTCTTTGGGGGCCCTAATCTTTACCGCTAATATTAACAAAATTTTATAACTAACTAGTTTCCAACACTGTTTGGCAGCAATTAATTTTTATTTAATTATCTGATAAGAATATGATCTACAGCTCAATCATAACTTATACAGATATATTTGGATACGCCTATAAGGTGTCCGTTATTTTCATGTTGATTTTTTTTGTTTTTTGTAACTCTTTGCCCTAAAAAAGGACCCAACATAAACAAACTCCTTATATTTAATTTAAATCGGGCCTACAACATTTGGTTTTGTGTATGTATGCTATGCAAAGAAATTTATATTTTTTTTATGAATCATTCACACATATATGTATATACATGTATTTATAAACCTAACTTTAGATAAAAATTTCATGTTTATATAAACATAGACATATGTACATATTACTATATCTAAGTATAATATTTAATAAATAACTCTGTTTATTACTGTTTAACAAAAATAAAACTATTTCTTTTTATTTTGTCAATGCGTTCACACGTGCGACACGGGTGGGACTATTTTCTGCATTTTATTTTATCCCGCTTTACAAAAAAAACCATTTTGGGCGACAATTGTCCGTGTGGGACCTATTAAAACGGATTGGGCAACAAGAGTCCTCGTCTGAACATACTCTAAGCATGTTGTGTACTCTTTGTGTACAGCTACATTTCTCCGGTGTGTGAGGTTTTAACGGTTTCATGATTCTTAACATGAACTTTATTTAAATTTTATCTCCTTATTTACCTTTGTATGGTTTTTGTTTTTCTATATAAAATTTCCCATATGTCTTTACTTACAACGTTGTTTACGCAAATCATCCATGGATTTCATTTAAAAGTTATCAATGCTGATGACTCATGTTTCCACTTGCCTTTTGAAAGTAATTTTGCAATTAAAGAATGTTTTCATTTTCTATTTTCCACGTAAACAGTTCTGTTATCAGAATCATTTTGTGTAAAAACATATAAATTTAATAAATCATAAAAAATCGGCTAATGTACCACATTGGAGATGTTTTTATAAAAACTGCTAAAAAATAAAACTGAAGGATTTTCTTTTTAAGTATTTATTTAATAACCACCGCTATACATTTATTTGTGGAATATACAATACATGCACTACCTCGTTTAATTAATCTTATAGATGTTTTCTGAATAGTAAACAACACACACACACACTTGGATTATTTAGAGGTAGGCAAAAAAAAAAACATATCCCAAAAAGAAAGAATCGCTAAATATTTAATGTTCCAAATAGTGCCAATGTATGGAACTGCTACTTCTTGAAAATATTATAATACTTACATTTTTTACATTTATAATTATTTCTTATATAATCTGCTGATTGGGAGATGGTTTTGAAATATTCTGAATTTAGAGTATAATAACAATATTCGCTATAAAGAAATAATTATTTAGTTATCTTTCTTCATTCTTGTCGATGTCATTCTGTAAATAATCGAATCTCTGCCGGGATCCATATCGGCAATTGCGTAGCAAACGGCCAATAATGAGAGGCCCAAAGCAACCATGAACCATAGAATTATGTTGAAAATTACTGGGTAGTTTTGGTCATAGTAGGCAGCAAGGTTGTATGTGTTCTGTTTATAATTAATTATTCACATTAGATGATGTCTTTTGGATGATTATATAAACTTACAGTTTTTGAACCAGTAACTGCTTCACGTCGTCTACGTAATAAGTTACTGCTTTTGTCATCTTCGTGGCTCACAATAACAGCCAGTAATGATTGAGACAATGAATTACCTTCAATTTGTCGTTGTAAATTTATAAGTTCGTTGGTCAACGCAGAAATTACTTTTGATTTGTCTGCAACATTTTTCAAGTTGGATAAGTCGATTTTAACGTAAACGAATTCCTTATCGGATTTTAAAACGCAGTTGCTCAATTCCTGGAATATTAAATGTTTAAAATAATTGATTTTATCAATTTTGATGTAATCACAAGTTACGTACATTTTCCTCAAAATTTGAGATGTTAATGTCACAGTCAGATGGATCTTCGGCCGAGGTAAGTTTCAGGTCATCTAATGAGGCTGAGACAGATTTACCACCAATTTTATAGCTAATATTCTCCTCGCTGAGTGGAATTTCATTTAAACCGATCACATCTACAAGGACAGCCTTTTGTGGTAGTCCAAAGGGATCATTGATCACAAGACCAGGAAAGTCAGCAGTGTCTGATACACCCAAACCTCTTGCTGCCTTGATAACATCGCACACCTGTTCACTTGGTAGAACAGTTGGAATGCGTTGGAAGGATAGCGATTCTGGTGCATTTAACACGTAGAAACTACCATCGGCATTGACTGAAATATAAAGTTTTTTTTTTCTATAAGTTACGAGGGATGTGAACATAAAATCAATAGCAGGTACACTCCAACTGAAATTTCATGTTTTCTTTTGTCGAACACAAATTTATTTTAACTTCACTTTAAATGCTGGCACTAAGTACTTTCTATAAATTATTTTTCGATTACTCACCTGCTAAAAAGCAGAACATTAACAACGCACAAATTCGCAGCATATTTTTTTATTTCTGGCCCTCAATGAAAATTGATCATATGACAACTACGACGGACAGCTGAAATACAACAACAACAATGTCACAAGTCAAAATGTGGATTTCTTTACAGATTTGGAGGGTGTTCATTGTTTTAGGTTGGCAATTGTGATCGATGGGAGATATTCGGAAGTCAATCCAAAATATTTTTTATTTAAATAGTTTTGGAAATCATGAAAATTACGCTAATAAAGCTAAATCGGTAAATGTTCAGAACAGCGGCTTTTCTGAAAAAAATTATTATATTTTTTTGAAAATATTTTAAAATTTGCATATATTAAAATTGACTTACTTATATTTAAAAAACACACTTTTTAAAATATTTTCCAAAAATATTGGACCATTTTTTTAGAAAAGCCGCTGTATACATTTTCAAAGCGTATTAAAAGTATATTAAAATTTGTTCGTTCAGATACTTCCTTCGAGGATTAAAAAGAAAATCACTTTTTCAAACCTTTTACGATGCCTTTCGCTGGGTTAAAAATAGCTTTATGTGAATAGTATGATATGAAAAATAGTGCAGTGGATGTGTGCCTTAGATAAGGTGATAGTAGACAAAATACAAATATATGACTAAAATGTCTTGTAGCACCGAACATTTAAAATATCTAAAGGATCTAATTTCATCATGCTTCCTTCCGGCTTTAAAGGAGGATTTGGATAATATGCCTATAAGTAGCGAAGACTTTGGTTCATACAGAAATGTTTTGGAAATACAATTACCGATCCTTTACGACCTGTTGCAACAAAACCGGGAATGGATTTTTGGTAGAGAAGGTCAAGAATCCTATGAGGTATGAGATTACAACTAAAAAATATTAACCATTTAACACAAAAAATTAAAAAAAAAGGTATTTGCGAATGTGGTCATCTTATTGTCCGAGATTAATGCTGCGCCAACAATTTATCGAATATCAAATAAAAATATTCAAAGGAATGCATATAGTATCCTACAAGAACATACTCCTATAAATATATCAGATGTGGAACAAATTGTGTTTGAATATTACCAAAACAAACTTAAAACGCATGTATGGAGAAAACAGTTGGGTTCCTTGCATGGATTCGTGAGATATTTAGAGGTAACTTAATTCTTTTCATTCTTCACATAGTTGAATGGAAATTGTATGAATAAATATCACCGTACAGTAAAGTTGAACACTATTATTCTTAGTTGCAATACTCAAGTAAAACGCTTCCTAGACGATGGGTTAATTTCTGTTTATCCGTGGGTCTAACTGTACGCGAAAGCCACGAGCCTACCTGTAAACGAATTGGTATATTAATATTTGCATTGATATTGAAAAGTGGTGTAAGTGGTTATGAAACAAGAGCTGTTATAAGCTTTTTATAAAATATATCATAAATTTGCCTCCAGAATTTCGCATATATTCAAGAACAAAATATACACGGTGTTATATACGATTCAGCAATCAAAGATCTCGATTTTATGGACTCCGTAGAGACAGCAGAAGATGTTTGGAAATGTTTACATAAATGTTTTAACTTCTATAAAGAGTTAAGCAGTTTCAATGTAATATATTTATATATATTCTATTTGAAAATTTTATTTGAAATAAATGCAATTGTCCTTTCTGTAGTGGTGCCAACTTGATGATCTAATGGAAATAGCTATTACAAATGTAACAATGGCCTCCGATAGTTCGATATCACTATGTTATTTACAACAAGTCTCTAAAATGGAGGAGTATTTCGCAATAAATCAACAGGAAATGGAAACTTGTTGGGAAGCTGGTCTAAATATTCCTTCATCGATAGAGCATTGTCGAAATGTTTGTGCAACCAATAATTCCTTTACAATGTTTCGATGGGCGAAAAGAATTCTAACTATGTTTAACGTGGAGTCATATAAATTAATGCAGGAGAAAGAAATGTCGCAAAAATTCTTACTGGTTCGTTCCTACATAGACAAAGAAATATTTTATTTTCAACACTACAATTTTTTTAGGAAATGCACAAATGTTACTTGGTTTGCATTTTGCCAATTGACTTACAAATAATCGGTCCACATTTAATATCATTTCTCGAAAAGTTTACGTCTGTGTTGATGGAAGTTATAATCGCTCATAAGTTGGATTTTGAAATCATTCAGGTAACCGTAAGAGTAAATTCTGACATTTTCAAAACGGATCAATTATATAACTTATTTTTATTTAGACTGTTCGTACGATTTTGGAGACTTTCAAATTCCAACTTCAACATTCCCCATTCACGCATGAAAATGAAGAATTTGCCAAACTTAACAACGCACTTGAAAAACTACTGAACCACAATATCTTTGTACAAAGTAAATAGATAATTTTAGGTTTGCTGTAAATATTTTAAGTAATAAAATATACAATTCTTCAACAAATTTTTATGGGTTATAAAAATACAAATATACATAAATAAAAGTGCACCGTCTTCAAGTAGATTGGTTTTCCAAAATTTCCGTCTAAAAATATTAAAACGCAATTAGGAAAATACGACGATATTCTTCCAAAAATACACTTACCTCAAGCGCTGGCTCATCATAATTGCATTGTTCAATAACGCACTCTGCAACTACACTCTGAAGTTTTTTCTGGATATTGCGAGCAATCTCATTGGGATGCTTGTTATCATCCTCATCTGCCGAGTAGCTGGCAGGTGATGCTTCTGTAGCGTTAACTGTTTCATCGGCTTCGTAACACGTATACAATTTGTTTTGTATTTCGGAGCCTGAATCTGGACGAAATTTCGAACGTAATTAAAAAGTAACCGTAACTTTGTTTTTCGCTGTTTATTTGTACTTATATTGCACTCACCTTCGTCCGTTTCCATACTCTTCGCGCTCATTGCCTCCGCATTCTCTGTTAAAGATTCCACCAAGTTAAGGCGGTATGTATGTTTCTCTTCCTCAATTTCTTGTTTGAGACGTTGCATTTCTTCTTGGAGTTTTTTGCGACGTTCTTCTAATTCCATTAATTTTGATTGTTCGTTCTCTAGAGTACGACAAAGTTCTTTAAACGTATTATTCGCTATATCTACCAGCGATTGTGATTTGTCGTAGAGCGACGGATTTGATGTTGACACATTTGCTGAGCAGGCATCATGGTCCTCCCTTTGGAACTTATCCAAGTCATTGGTGCAATCCGTATTATGTGCCATTTCGGTGTATTTAATTGTTTAGAAAATATCTTAGGTATATAAATGTAAAATAAGTGCGTGGTATAATTGATTTTATTTTTAAAAATATTGCTTCAAATATTCAGAAATAACAGAAAATTTCGTTTGACACTCTTAGCTAGGATAGCTCACAGTTGCTCTTTCAGAGCAACTTTCTTCTTTAATCGAATGAAGTGCATTCTAAATAAGGACAACTTAGAGAAGTGCTTAATATTAATGTGATTTTTAATTTTAGCTTGTATTTAATATGGTGGTATAAATGTTTTTGTTGTTGTAGAAGTAGAAAACATCCCACAAATAATTTTGAGGGATGCTGTCGAGTTGATAGTTCTTGGTCGGATACAAATTCGGATCCGTTCCGGTTACGTAGACCCGATGGTCCAGTTTTCAAAAAAACAATATCTACATAATTCTAATACATGCACGATAAAGGATAAATCTGTTTACAATTGATTAGGTGCTCAATCGTTTAAATTGAATTCCAGGCATATCCACTCATAAAGTAAATAAGTTAGCAAAGTAGACGGCACAATGCGCAGAAATGAAACAAATATTCCACGATAAAACCCCCTATAGCCGTGGTCTTGTACCAGCATACGCATTACATCCAAACTACTTCGATATTGATATCTGTTTGCATCCATAAATATTAGTTTAACCACTTCGACGGGTGTTATTATAATTGTGGTGACACCACCCGCTATCAGTGAAGCCATGAAGCACGAATGCCAGTTTTCCTTAAATCGCTCCGTCTTGAAAAATACTTCTCTGAGCTTTAAGGCAACATATTTCAATATTAAAATGGATAAAATTAAAAGTAGTTTTTTATTTCATATGTAATTTTTTTTAGCAACCTCATCATAAACCGCCAACTGCCCCATAGACATAAGCATTCCGCGAACTGAGGAGATAAAGGCGCATCTGTACACTTTATATAATCCACCCTCTTTATACAAACTTATGACTCCATTAAAAACTGATGAATACCTGCAGGTGAATAATACAAACCATTAATCTAAAATCCATTTGAATTTACAATAAATACCTTCGGCTTTTATCCGGCGGTTTTATGATATCTGTACACATGCGCACATTCATTTTCTCGAAAGGGGTACATAAAAAGCCCGCGACCAGCCCGCTTTCTGCAGCTACTACGGCTTTATGAAAGAAATATTCCGAATTTTCTGCACGTTTTCCCATTTCGTAGAGACCGAACCGCATTATTGAATAGACAATTTGCCTTTGAGTGGCATTTCGCAAGCTAAATGTGAAACCCAAAATTCCTGCAATTTATTTAGCAAATATTAATTTACGAGCTCAGTGGTTAAAGCTTATTGACCTTGTTTTTCCAAAATTTCTTTAACAATATCACGTGAAGATACTTTTTTAGTATTTGACTGAACCAACATTCGTACCAAATCAATTGGATGCGTTATGATTTGTGCAGTAGTATTGGCAATCGCACCAGCAAACCAATAAGTTTCAACATCGTCCTGGCCACGCATTTATGTTAATTGCATATGTACATATACATACCTATAGGAATATTTTGAATGTTAAAAATGATAAAGTTGTCAAATGTTCAAAAAACAAGAAAGACCGTTAACTTCGGTTGCATCGACGCTATAATACCCTTCACAAATACAAAAGATTCCATACAAGAACTTGATTTTGATCGATCAGTTTGTATGGCAGCTCTATGCTGTTGTTGTAGCGAGAGAATTCTGCCGAGTTGACAGTCCTTGGCCGGAATAAATCCGGGTCCGTTCCGGTTACGTAGACCCGACTATCGTGGGAACGGCTGTGCTATTGTTGTCCGATATCGGTGGTTTCAGTAAATTGGGGAGAAAAGGACGTGTGCAAAACTTCAGATAGATATCTCAAAAACTGAGGGTTAAGTTCATGTATTTACAGACAGATGGACGGACAGACGGAATTAACTAACTAGACTCAGCTCATCTTGCTGATCATTCATATATATATTTTAAAGTGTCCCAGACGTTTCCTTCTGGGTGTTACAAGCTTCATGGCTAACTTAATTTAACCTGTTCAGGGTATAAAAACGAAACAAATGTAACCAAAACAACATAACTTTTATAAAAGATGTTATTTATAACATTGAGCTCTTAATCTTTTAACCTGATACATTCATGGAATGTAAATAAAAACACAACAGCTATCACTTACCATACGTATTTAAATATATGTATATGAATATAGCACTTTGAAAAGTTGTTTATTATTATAATTATAAACGAAATAACTAAATTTATGTTAAATTGACATTATAGGTAAAAATGTACCTATTAAATATTTACTTTTAAGTCTCAACCTACCGACTAATCAACTTCAAAGTGTTTAATAATGGAGTTTATAATTAGCTGTGAAGTGTATGCTGGTTGAAAAAAATATTTCATTGCCAATTTTGTACTTAATTTACGAATTTAAATTAAAGTTAGTTGGTACTAGTTTACAAAATATAAATTTCATAATGCATATATAATATATTTTTATATGACTAATGGTTCGGAATCATTTTGGCCCAATTCGCAATGTACCTTCTTGGGCTTCTTTCCGTAATTGTTCTACTTCTAACTCCAACTTTTTCGCTTTTAATAACATAACGGATCGTTCGATATCAAGATTTTCCATTTGTTTTTTAAAATACGCTGTTTTTGCTCGCATACATTGAATTTCAACGCGGGTTCTAAGATCTTCTAAATTTCGGTTTCTTTGATAAGAATCTTCACGTTTCGCCATCTTCGGCGGCTTTTGTTCAAAATTTTGATCAATATCTTCATGTACAAATGGATTGTCCATTAAATATCCATCGACAAACTGTAAATTAATATGAGTTAAAACAATATGATATTGGGAAAAAGAACTGTATACCTCTATTTGTCGTTCGTATAGGTTACTTATGTCACCCTCGAAAGCCATTGAGGAATTGTTACTTCGAGTGGGGCTTGGAGGAGCTATTTTTCCATTAATTATTTCATACTTTGGCTTAAGCGGAGCTATTTTGGCGGATTTCTGAAATAATAAATATATACTTCTAGTAATTATCAAATAAACAATAATACACTAACATCAATATAAACAAGTCTTTAGAAAATTATCGAATACAAATACGATAGTATTAGATATGCAAGACATCTATTCACGATTTCATTACAGCAAATATCATTTAAGTCATTCCCAGTGTATAAGTTTTGAAGTAAGTGCATTGACTTTTTGTACCCCATTTATATATACAATTATTGAGCCATTCCAAGTGTTTAATATGAATTATTTACCTTTTGGGGCGGTTTGCCTGGCTTTCTTTCCAACTCGATTTTGTGGTACTAAATAATAATAATTAGATGTTAGTTTGAGTATCATATTGCTTTCTTTTTACAATAATATACTTTTAAATGCGTTAAGAGTCCTTTAGTAGAACCAAAACAAGTCTTTAATACTTTATTGCAGCTTTTGCACTGTGCTGTCGGTCCTCCACAAGCAGAAACCAGAAAATAATACCACACTGAACTTTTATCCTCAGCCTTTGATTTATGTGGAATATATTTCACATCTTGAATAGGTTCTATAGATAAAAATGGAGAGACTTTTTTACACTTTTAATAAAGAAATATGCACTTTTTTACCCATGTTTCACAATAAGATGCGACACAACAAAAAATTGTAAATATAAATAAATATTTACCTACACATCTCTGGATTCTAAATGAACACAGGGTGTTTCAAATTAAATACAAATCAGCTTGAGATATACACGGAGCAAAGCAAATATGTGTAATAACAAATGGAAATTTTTTTCTTATTTGTTATAAATATTTTCGACATAAGGAGTATGCAATATATTTTCACTTTTTATTAGTACATACTGTTTCGAAAAAATAGATTAAGGCAAATAAATTTCAGAAATCTATGAACTGTCGAAAGCCAAGGTTTAATTACTTTTAAGGCTATTTGTTTAAGCGTATAGATAATAGATCATTTCTTTTATATAAAAATATATTGAGGCATGAATACAAAAGCAGAAACAAAATCCATAATCCTACGATCAAACTTATTCTAGTTCATTATATTATATTGAAAAAAAAAAACTAAAATATGTTAGTCAATAGTGGATTACTTCCAAATATGTCAACGATCCAAAATCGTTATAAATTTTTAAGTTCATGTTTTATCTTTTTTGCTTGTAACGCTACGAGATTCTTTTGCATCCTGTAGTATCCAGCCTTTTCACGAAAATAATCTATTTCTGCCATTATTCGCTCTTCCTCAGCGGATAATTTTTGGTTTCCGTCTATCTTTAAAACATTGCTCTTACCCGATGGATCCTCAACATAATTATAAAACTGTAAAAATTTAATAAATTATTTTAAATATCAGCAACAAATATTACCAATAAATTGTTTACCAACGCATTGTCCGTATACGGATCCAAGAGTTCTTCACCAAGTGTTTCTTTACTTTTTATATCACCTACTCTTCGACTTGAGGAGCTTACATCTGTGGGTTCTATTTTAAGAAAATCATTTTCGCTGAAATCCTGTTCAGCTCATTGTTAGACATACATAACAATTTTATCACGTACAACCTACCTCGTCCGCCGTTCTGCCGTTTGACTTGTCTTCAATTTCTTTTACGAATTTACTAACGATATTAGGATTAGCTTGTTGCCCTTTTAAAGTTGCGTCAATATTATGTTTATTTTTCAAATGCCGCAAAATATTTCCCGTTGTCCCTTGATAGTTTTGCTGGTGGCGACATAGTCTGCAGCGCACTCGTAACCTATCTAACTTTTCGAAATATCGCCATACAATGCTGACTTTTTTTCGAACACCTAAACTTATATCGGTTTGTTGATCTTCATAATCGGCACTCACCGTAGACATAATTCATAAGTTTATAATTTATTTCTTTTATTTATAATGTAATAATATTTTTTGCAATACAATGAATGTGTAAACAAAAGTCCTCAGCTGTTAATTTTTTAAAAAACACAATATAAGAAATGTCAAAAACTTTGGTGAAAATACTATTCACCTTTTTTGGTAGAGTTTCCAACCAGGGTTGCATACTTTTAGTGTTTTATGTTATTATAAAAATATTTGTTCTGACCGAGATATAGCCAAATTACAAAGCACCATTAATTGAATACATCATCAAAATAATCATTGGTTAAAAAATAAATGTTTAAATCTTTTGAAAAAAAAAATAAAATAAAGAAAAATAACATTTTATAATATGTTTATAATACTCAAAAATATTTATATATATTAATAGAGCACATTAATGCATTTCAATATATATACACAATTTTTGGAGTCTGCGCCAAAAATAATGATATATGTATTCATAATAGTGTGTGCAATTCTAAACTCAGGTATCGATAATAATTGTGTAAATGTCAAACATAAGTTTTGTATATTTTGACGATTTGCTAGCTAATTAACAATTGATGGGCTTATAGGATTAAATTAAGAAAATAAAACATTTTTTTCTCAAGGAAGCGTAAGCTGGAGAAATCAAACAAATGGAAATTGACTCCGCCGAAGAAACGAACATAGAGCAACTTACAAATATATCCATTCATGGGGAGCACATTGAACCTGAGTCAACAGAAGATTATGTGAATATTGGAAATTGTAAGAAACGTAAGTCCAGCTTTGTATGGAAATACTTTCGCCTTTTAGAGAATAGCAGTAACGGTTCACTAGAGTGCTTAATTTGTGGAAGCAGTGTAAGCAAACAAACCAGCAACTTGGCTCGACATTTGTTTGCTGCGCACGATATTAATAGGAGCACCGATATAGGGGTAAATATATCTAGCTATTGAAAAACATAAGTGTTTCTTCTAACCGAATGTTTTTCTACAGGATACTCAAGAAGATGCACCAACCAGTGTAGTAGGTCGGCCAAGTAGTAGTTTTATATGGAAGTATTGCACCAAAGAAGATTATCGATACGCACGCTGTCACTTGTGTGATAAATTATTATATTTTGGCGGTGGAAATACTGCAAATATAACAAAACATTTAAGACGTAAACACTCAGACGTAATTACTAGTAGAGAATTGTGTGGCACAAAGACTATGGATGATACAGAAGAATTCGTGGCAGTTATTTCATCCAATCAACTAGACTCTACAATGAACAGTTGTGATGATGAACTGCTTAAAGTGAAAGATGAAAACAATTCTGAAGGAAGGCGGATGCGAAAAGAACGAAAAGGAAGCAGCTATGTATGGAATTATTGTGAGAAACTTTCAAGGCACACAATTCGATGCAAACTTTGTAAAAAGATTATGAGCTTTCATGGCACAGCGAATGTAATAACACATTTACAACGTAGACACAATATCGTTGGACGTGTAGACAGTGAAACAGTGAGTCTATTATTATTTATATTAATTAAACATTCTAAAAAAAAATTTAAATAGATAAGGCTAAATAATGTCGCCGATGAAGATAACGTAATTGCAGATATGAAGGATGATCAAGAGGCAGCTGCGCATCGGGGCAGAAGGTCTACGGCGGCAACAAGCATTGTTTGGAAATATTGCACACGGCTTGGTCCGGATGTGGTGCGTTGCAGTTTTTGTAAAAAGAATCTATCCTTTCAAGGCACAAGTAATTTACAACGACATTTACATCGCATGCACGGGGTTGTGACACAAACGCGTGTGTTCGGTGAATTAGTACAAGATGCTGCAGATATTGATGACACTCTTATATGGGAACATTGTGAGCACACCGAAGATGGTAAAATTAAATGTACCATGTGCAAAAGTGTATTTGATGATAAGGACTTTAAAGATATACGCACACACCTCACAACAACGCATGCAATAACATCGAGTCCTCCAGTTAAACGCGATAAAAGACGAAAACGAAATTTAAGATTAGAAGTAGGTTTTTTTGGCTTCAAAGCCTTTTCGCTATAATTCTTAACCTCAGTATTTTCATAATGAATATGGCTTATTTATTATTGCTAGGATGCTTGTGAAGAAACAGATGACTACGAATACGACCAAGAAGAGGATAATTGGCCTGGTGAAAATGAGGAATTTACAATAGAATACAATAATGGTAATGTGAAAAAGGACCACACAACATTCGATGATATAATAGAGGAGGATCAGGCGGGTCATATAATATGTGATGAAGATCCTTTTGACCCTAATGTACGAATTATATATATATTTTTTGAATTGTGTACACTGAAATATATATATAACATTTTTTTTTATAGATGATGCATAATTATCCCATGGCACGACCTTTATCCGCCGCTTCCAGTCTTGACGCATCACAGGATCGAACTTTTAAAATGTCAACTGGTACTAGTAGATTACGTAAATTAAATGAAGAACGTTTACGTATGGAAACTGAATATTTTAAAGAAAAAGCAGGCTATTATCGTATGCAAAAATATTTTACAGCTTTACAGGCTAAGAAAGCTCGTATCGAGTTAGATCGTCTACTAAACATCAATTCAAACAATACCGCATACCATGTGAATATTGATATGCCCAATGTACAGACGTCGACCTCCAGCATTTAGTCAAAATAATAACATAAAAAAATATATATGATCATGGTTGAGTTCAATATGGTTAAGGTTTAATAGTAGTAGCAGAATGGCTATATTAAAAGGGGGAAATACATGTAAATTCCAAACATTAAATTTTATATAACACTCATGTTAAGTAATATATTATGGAATTGCTGATAGCGCGTTTACGATTGAAAAGGTCTAGTCAGCTGGAACGCATAGTTTCCATTTCTAACATCAGCTTCTTACTTTGCAATTCGATCATAATTCTTTTAGCACGTGCTAATTCAGCCATCTCGTTATAATATCGTGTTTCTGCTTTCAGTTTTTCTTTAAAATGTGGGTTGTCCAAAAAAAGTTGCTTGCTAATTGCCTCCTCTTCATTTGAATGATGTGTATCGATAATATAACCACAGCTTATATCTTCATTTGACTCTTCTGTAGACGGCGTATGTTGCGATGGTGAAGACATAGACGCAGTTGGTCCTTGATATTCATGTGCCGAACGCTATATGTTGTATATATAAATTACTAAATATTAAGAGTGATATATGCAATAATTATTATACCGTGTCCTCATCACCATCAACATCTTCGTCGGATCTATCGCAACGCACAAGTTTCAAGGGTACAACTTCTTGTTTTATTTCTTCAAGTGGATCAAATGCGTCATTTGTAGTGACGACTGGTGTTAGATATGGTGGCGAAACATTGCTCGCAACACCAGATCTTTGATTTATTCTTCCACGCTTATGCTTAAGAAATCCAGTTTGTTCTGCACCATAGTAGCTTGCATCAACATGGTGTCTGTGAATTGATAAAATTGTGGGCAAATATGGCCACCAACGTTGGGTGAAGTATTTGAGCAATATATTAATTGAAAACGACCTACTTGTAATACAGGTGACGCACCAAATTAGCTGAAGTGTTTTTGCAAGATAGATTAAGTTTACAATTCTTACAACGAGCTGCATAATCTGATATTCTATCGAAATAGAGCCAAATTTTTTTGTTCCTTATGCGACCCATTGCAATGCTCATTGCAGGCGCCGCAAACTGCAGATAACGCACCGAAGCGCCGCGCTAGAACAAGAATTTCTTCACAAATTTTTTGATCTCAATTACCAGTAGGATTTGAGATTTTATGGGCCAATTTCATAACGTGTTAATTATGCGCTGAATTATTGTAATTCTGTCTTTCGGCATCTTGTTTTTAGGTAATTTTAAGATAATTTTCTTTGCCTTTGCAATTTTTGATACACGGTATTACACACGAACTTTGAAAATTATGTACAAATAAAACCAAATAACCAGTGGAATGTCAAATGAAGTACATGGGTTACCTACATCACAAAATGAAAAATACCCAGTTATTTGCTGTATATTTTCCGAGAACTTGTTGGTATACCATGTTTTAAATACATTTTTATCGTGTAAATTTTTTTGTATAATTTGCCAACATGTTGCCAGAGAATGTTAATAAATAGAGAAGGCGCAAATGCAAAATAGTAAAGAGTAAAATGTTAATTTGAGCTTTTCACAAGAGGAAACATCGAAAAATACAACTTCAACTTATTTGAAATACACCACGCAATGAACGATATAAATAGACACAAAGAATGTTCTTAAATGAATTATGCGCATTTTGATTTACATTTGCATATTACCAAAATTCATAATTTTTGTAATTTAAAATAATCCTTCAAATTATATAAGAGCATTATTGGTTAAAGCCGCAGAATTGACAACAAAATAAGTAATTAATAGATAAATTCTTCAACACATTTTTGTGCGTTGCATGAACAATATCTAATAGACAAGGGATAACAATAAATCAGCGATCTTATTTTTGCGGTGGCTCAGGTCGTAAGCGCGAAGGAGTAAAGCCATTCCGAATACAAACGCTTATGTTCGAATCCTATAAATCACAAATCTTTATTTTTATTTATCTTTTATTTTATTATTTAACATTTTAGCTGATTTCAATTTAATTACTTTAAAAGCATATTTTACTTCTGAGATAATTAAAATATTTCAGGAATATATGTTCATATGGGTATTCTTCTCCATTACTTTAATATGAAGAACACTTCAGCTAAAAGTAATTTGGTGGAAGTTTATGGTGAACATGCTCTAGCTGAGCGAACATGCCAAAAGTGGTTTGCACGATTTAAAAGTGGTGATTTTTGCTTGGAAGATGAAGAACGTCCTGGGCGGACGAAAAAATTTGAAGATAAGGAATTGGAAGCGTTACTCGATGAAAATTGTTGCCAAACACAATAAGAGTTTGCAGAATCTTTAGGAGCAGCTATTTCAAAACGTTTTAAAGCAGCCGGATACATTAAAAAGCAAGGAAATTGGGTGCCATATAAATTGAAGCCAAGACATTTTGAAGTGCACGTCAAAACTGCTGCTTAAACGGTACAAAAAAGTCGTTTATGCACCAAATTGTGACTGGTGGTAAAAAATGGATATATTACGACAGTCGTAAACGCAAAAAACCATACTTATGTGAAACCTGGCCAACCAGCCAAATCCACGGCAAAACCGAATATTCTTTATGGCAAAGTGATGCTCTGTATTTGGTGGGATCAAAAGGACGTGCTATATTTTAAGCTTCTAAAACCCGGTGAAATCATTAATGAGGAACGCTACTCATCATACAACTCATCAAATTGAAGCAAGCGATTGCCGAAAAACCCCCGGAAATTGCGATTTTGTCTCACCCACCTCATAGCTCAGACCTTGCCCCTTCTCACTACCATTTGTTTTGGTCGATGCAGGACGCACTCACTTTAATACGGTTTACATCAGAACAGGGTATCCAAAATTGGGTTGAATAATTTTTGTCCTCCAAGCCGGCGCAATTCTTTTGGAATGGAGTTCACAAATCGCCAGAAAGATGGGATAAAGTTGTAACTTCAGACGGGCAATACTTTGAATAATACTTTTTTACATGTTTTTTTTTAAATAAACGTTTACATTAAGAAAAAACGCACGAATATAGTTATGTATTTATGAATGTATGTATTTACAGTACTCGATAATCAAGTCAGCTTTCACACGTAATATCTTGTAGTGATTTATAACCAATGGCGTTTTCTTAAAAAATTTGTATCAGGATCAATATCACAAATGAACTGAATATCGATCTGCTTTCATTACCGTTATATTTAATTCAATTATCTCTTACTACTGCTACTTAATAAATTTTAAAACAGTAAATTTATTTAAATTAAATTCAGGAAAGCTAAAACAGATTTACAGAAATAACGGTTGTAGGCAATATAATATCCTTATGGCCGACATTGATCGCCAAAATAGTTTTTGTAAAATGAGAGGTACAATAATGTAAGTAAAAGTATGAATTTGGCGAAATATTAAAAAATATTACATATGATAAAATATATTAACAATTTTTGTATAACTTTTAATACCATTTCAGTACATAGTGATTTTGTTTGTGTGTCGTTGCAATAATTCAAATCAGATTCCAACTAAATTTAAAGTTATCCACTTGGTTGCGTATTTGCTCTCCACTACATTTTAACGATTTTTTCACATAATGCCGAATTAAATATGTTTTGTATTGTACTCCTTACTTGGTATTATGCGAAGGTACAGCTCAATTATTTTTGGCTTATTTATTTTATGCACACGCAAGTGCAACAACAAATTTTGCAATGTTTAAAGTTTCTAAAAATTTATAGCGCTCACGCCTCAAAAAAGGCAGTCATCAAAGCCATAAATAGAATACCAAATATCAACGCAAGCAACTGCTTTAGGGACTCAGCTTTCTCTTCTTCTGCTCAAATATAAACGAGACTTTATCCATAACTCGACAAGGACATGACATATGGCCATACTTTTGCTTAGGTTGGCAGGACTGTTATATGTTTACATGTCAAATTTGAGCGCGATCTGTCACATAGTTTTTTTTTTACGGCACTATAAACAAGTCAACCTCGAGTGTGTTTTTCGAATTTTACTATGGAAATTAACGTTGAGCAAAGAGTTTGTTTGAAATTTTGTTATTCCAATGGAATAAGTGCGACGGACGCAATGAAAATGTTGCAGAAGGCATATGGGGAGTCTTGCCTATCACGTGCACGTATTTTTTATTGGTATAAGTCGTTCAAGGACGGCCGTACATCGCTGGAGAACTTGCCCCATGATCGTCGTCCAGCAACGTCAATAAACGAAGAAAACGTCGAAAAAGTAAAGAAAATTGTGTTGGAAAATCGTTGTGTGACTGAAAGAGAGATAGCTAGTGAGCTCAACATATCAAATGGATCCGCTCATAGCATTATTCACGAGGTTTTGGGCATGAGACCAAAATTGGGTTGAATAATTTTTGTCCTCCAAGCCGGCGCAATTCTTTCGGAATGGAATTCACAAATCGCCAGAAAGATGGGATAAAATTGTAACTTCAGACGAGCAATATTTTGAATAATACTTTTGTACATGTTTTTTTTAAATAAACGTTTACATTAAGAAAAAACGCAGGAATATAGTTATGTATTTATGAATGTATGTATTTACAGTACTCGATAATCAAGTCAGCTTTCACACGTAATATCTTGTAGTGATCTATAACTAATGGCGTTTTCTTAAAAAAATTTTATCAGGATCAATATCACAAATGAACTGAATATCGATCTGCTTTCATTACCGTTATATTTAATTCAATTATCTCTTACTACTGCTACTTAATCAATTTTGAAACAGTAAATTTATTTAAATTAAATTCAGGAAAGCTAAAACAGATTTACAGAAATAACGGTTGTAGGCAATATAATATCCTTATGGCCGACATTGATCGCCAAAATAGTTTTTGTAAAATGAGAGGTACATTAATGTAAGTAAAAGTATGAATTTGGCGAAATATTAAAAAATATTACATATGAAAAAATATATTAACAATTTTTGTATAACTTTTAATACCATTTCAGTAAATAGTGATTTTGTTTGTGTGTCGTTGCAATAATTCAAATCAGATTCCAACTAAATTTAAAGTTATCCACTTGGTTGCGTATTTGCTCTCCACTACTTTTTAACGATTTTTTCACATAATGCCAAATTAAATATGTTTTGTATTGTACTCCTTTCTTGGTATTATGCGAAGGTACAGCTCAATTATTTTTGGCTTATTTATTTTATGCACACGCAAGTGCAACAACAAATTTTGCAATGTTTAAGGTTTCTAAAAATTTATAGCGCTCACGCCTCAAAAAATGCAGTCATCAAAGCCATAAGTAGAATACCAAATATCAACGCAAGCAACTGCTTTAAGGACTCAGCTTTCTCTTCTTCTTTCAAGAGATCTGGTAATACTGTCACCAATGCTATATGTAAAAATCCTCCAGCCGTAAAAGGCATAATCCAGGAGGTTCGCGCCTCTGAAAGTTTATATTATGAATATACAGAACGAAAATGTAAAGGCAAATGTAAATTTACCCATTGCCGATGTGACGCCCGAACCACCAATTGCAACCAACGCACCCATCAGACCGGCACCAGCAGTTAACAGCTGGGCACGAGCAGCATCCCATCGGCTAAACCCAGATCTTAAAAGTATGGCAAAGTCTCCAACTTCGTGGGGTATCTCATGCACTACACGAAACATAAATATTATACACAAGAGAAATATTATTAAAATAGTAATTAAGACTTACATAAAATTGCGAATGTTGCCAATACACCGTGTCGGAAGGAGACCAAAAATGAGCCCGCAACAGCCAAGCCGTGTGTGAAATTGTCAATGGAATTGGCCATTAAATTTAAATAGCCTGCTACCTTTTTGGGGTGCTCTTTTTGTTTTTGCTCACGTTCACGTAAGAAGCAACCATTCGGCACATCTTCAATGTCACATGATCCAGCACAACCTTCCGAGTTGTTATGACCGTCGGGAATTTTTCCGCCAGTTTTGCGAAGTAAACAATTAGCGATTTCCACACATTTTGGTTGAGGATTCTCTTCATCAGCATTGGCGTAACCGGAGAATATCTTCTCAACTATGGTAAAAATAAGTATGCCCGATAGAACCCAAAGACCTGAGCGTAGGGAAGGATGTTCAGACGAAGCTGAAATTGAAATAAAATCGTTGGTATACGATAATTGTGAAATATTTATTTTATTATTTTTAACTTACTATTTCTTTCACCTTCCCAAGCTTCGGGCAAGAGATGCAGGAAAACGTCACCCAATAGGCCGCCGACCGCGAAGCTTAATAGTACTTTAAGAAATTTCGATTCACCAGCTATGAAAAAAATGTATTGTAATTAAAGCATATTTACAAGAATTATATAAAGAATAACTGTTAAATATTGTTTTTGTTAACTTACGATCTTTGTAACCGCCCTCCTTCAGATTTTCATCAGTGGGTATTATGATTAACGGTAATATACCGGCCAGGCCGATGACCACCGAGCCCAGCAAGGAGAACACCCACGGCGTATACACAAAATGTTTGGTCATTGTGAGTAGGAAATCTGGCATATAATTATGCACCAAATGTGTGTAGATGTGGACGAGCTGCTCGTCGAAAAAATTGCCAGTGCTATTCATTTTGACTTTGGATTAGACGATTTCTTATATTTATATGAGAATATATGTATGTAGTAGTATTTAGCTTGGTATCTATATTTATAAGAAACAGTTATCACATTCAAGATTTACTAAACAGTTAATGTTTTAACTCGTCATTCGATCGTATTTGAGAGCCGTTATCATGCCGTTTTTATAGTTAGTTAAGCTTTTGTTTTGGAATTTCGTTGGCGTTAATGTGAAATTTTGCCTATTTTCACACTGGAATCAATTTCAAGTACACTTTCAAAATCTGCAATTAGAAAAGTTTAATTAATTATTAATGTTTATAGATCTATGTATTTGCATTATGAAAAATAAAAAATTTCAAATTGTCATGTTTGCCGTCAACATGGAAAACGAAAATATGGTTATTTTATTTATACTTTTTACTTCAATATAAGTAGCCAATAAATTTAGAAATCAATAAGTAACAATTTTTTTTTACCCTGAACAGGGCATACGAAATTGGCTACGAAGTTTGTAATACCCAGAAGGAAACGTCATAGATCCTCTAAAATATAATATATACATAAATGCTCAGCATGGCGAGCTGAGTCGATTTAGCCATGTCCGTCTGTCTGTATATTAGCGAACTAGTCCCATAGTTTTTGAGATATAGTTTAGACATTTTGCAAACATCATTTTCTCCCGGAAAAGCTGTTCATTTGTCGAAACTGCCGTTATCGGATAGTAGCATATAACTACGATGCAAACAGATATTCTTGTTGATCCTGTTTTTTACTTGACAAGATATCTTCACGAAATTTGGATTTGGATTGTTTTCTAAAGCAACGGTACAAGCTTCGAACACATTGTTCATACAAACTGACGGATCAAAATCAAATTCTTCTTGTAAATTGTGTTAATTTTGTAAATGTTTGAAAAGAGCTGTCGCTTTACTACCTGAATTAATCAATTTATTTATCTATTAAAAGTGTCTGTAATTCAAGAAAAGTAGCATGGCAACATATTAGATTTCTTCAAGAGAATATGAACATATGATTGAAGAGTATTACTAAAATGACAAGTAGATCCCTTTAGTTGAAGTCCAGTTTTAGTTGCAGACTGTTTTAAGATAAGATAGACATTAACAATGAATTCAGCTAATATAGTGCGATTTGTATTCAACGCGTTAAAACCAGTTGACAACATGTGAAAGTGTAGGATAGTACAATTATTTAAAACAATACAATAGAGGAATAAAACAAGTTATATATGTAAAATATGTTTAACAGTTCACGGAAATAAAGACAAGAACAGCATATTTGAAGCATTAATTTATTTGTCATCTATTTTGAATTCGATATATATGTACATATGTACGTGTAGTGATCTGATCTGAACAATTTCAGATCGATAGCTTAAAAACTGAGGGACTAGTTCGCGTATATACAGACGGACGGACAACGCAGCTCATCTGATCATTTATGTATATACTTGTAGTTTACAGGGTCTCCGACGTTTCCTTCTGGGTGTTACAAACTTCGTGGCAAACTTAATATACCCTGTTCAGGGTATAAAAAGATGAAATGATGCGGTGATAATTTATACGTTATATTTATGTTGGTGAATATAAGTTCACTGCTATCAATATAAATTATATTATAAATAGAAGTGATTAAATACTATGTATATGCATGTGTATAATTAAATGCAAACGCATGCTGCATTATTACCTTATACATACGTACAAATGTGCGTTTTTAAATGAGGTTCTCCTTCAGACTCATAGTTCCATTGCGTCAATCAAGGAGAACCAGAGTGTATGGAGTTTGTATAGGCGTAAGTGTATGTATCTTTAGTTTCTTACTTTTGTATAGACGTACATATGTACAACTAAGTATGATTGTGATAATGTATATGTACATACATATATACGTATATGCTGCTGGCAGGCCAAGACTATTGTTGTTATTTGTCCAAAATTGTTTTTTTTTTACTTCAGGTAATTGCTCCGTTCATATGCAAGTATAGAAATCGGTAGCATTTATGTATTTCTGGATTTTGCGGATTGCCAGTAGATGTACTATACATACATATGGACATAAGTAAAATTGTATTTATGAATAGAAACGAAAACGTTATTTCCGATGTTAGGATAACCTCGTGGATTACTTCCAAATTTGAAAATGATTCATACTTGTTTTTTTATTCGATTTGTTATTAAGCACAAATAAATATAAAATATATTATGTTGAATTATATTTTTGTACTCTTGCAACGTGTTGCTACAGAGTATAATAGTTTGTTCACCTAACGGTTGTTTGTATCACCTAAAATGAATCGAGTTAGATATATGATTATATATATATAAATGATCAGGATGATGAAACAAGTTGAATTCCGAGTGACTGTCTGTCAATACCGAAAATATCGGTCAATATGTGAGATATATAATTTAAGTTTAGAGAGGAATGTTTTCTGATAATTGTATGTTATTGTGTCAAAAATGGGTTGCATCGGGTCAATACTTCCTTTAGCTGCCATATACCTAATATAAAGACTTTTCAACTTCCTTTATACCGCATATATCGCCCAATATGTGAGTTATTTTAATGAAAATCAGAGAGCGTGTGTGAGCGAGTGTATCTTTGTGCCTAAAATTGATCAAATTGGGCGAAAACTTGACTATTTAAATATATAATTTTGCTTTGAAATATGTTCTCGAGTAAATCTGAGCAATGGCAAAATAATCCATTTCTCTATCCCCGTTATACTCCATAAACGATTTCCCTCTTTCCACCTGTATTTTAACCCTTCAGGTTGGTAAAAATGTGTGATATTTTAAAAAAAAAAGTGGCCAAGTTTTTTTAAAAATGATGTGGTTTAGCGCTGAATTAGAATGGAATTGGTCTAAACCTCAGATCCCTAATATAATAAATACTGATCCTCCGTCCTTGACGTTTTCCACATCAACTCAATATATTTAATTTAGCCTCTTCGATCTAGTTAATATCACATACGTACAGATATCTCGTTTGAAGGTGTTTTTAAAATAATTTTGGCTGACGCGAACTAAACTTTAATTAATTAAATTAAACCCAAACTTAACCCTCTCTTACTTGTTATATTCAAGCTTGTATAAAATGAGACATTTTCAAAGTTGCTAGTTGATAACATTTGAGATAATGAAAAAGGGTAGATCATTCTTAAAATTTAACAATAATATTTATAGTTTTTAATTATAAACATTTTCAAATTCAATTTGATTCAGCTCTATTCGAATCGTACATTTGGAAAGTATCATTGGTAAACGTAGCAAGAGGACCATTTCTCCATTAAATTTTCCAGTCAAATGGTTGCTACAATAATATTTCCCGTAATCTTTTTGATTATCAAACGTGTACCGTTGCATAATTGAGGTGGATTGAAAATGCGCTGAATAATAATAGTTGAAAAATGTTCAACCGAAGATTGTGTGATGCCATTCCTAGTATATATAGATCATTTACGTCATGATAAGTAGCGAATAATTTAAAATATAGCTGATGGCCTCGCAACAACTGTTGTTACTGAAATAAATCTGGTCGCTAATTTAGCCCGATTACTTGTTCAGTTATGATCCAAGCGATTAATTTTTACTTTCAGAAATATACTCTCAATTAATCAAGTTTTTTTTCATGATGCACTGCCTATTTGGTTGCAGTTCTATTCTACCATTCCCGACATCTAGAAATTGTATTATTTCTGAGGGGGGATCAGTTTGCAATTGTTCGCACATATAAGTATTTATGGTCAATTGGAGTGTTTCCACACTTCACCATAATAACAAATGCTAAACATTCGTTAATATCATTGGCTTAAGAAAAGCGAAGAAGGAATGGACTGTCGGCAAACACCTGACAGTAGTAAGACAGCACCACCGAAAATTTCATTGTTGCCGTTTAAATATTGCATTGTTCTGTGCAATGCTTCGAGAATATTTATGAATCATTATGTGCTCATCTCAAATTATAATTGAAAACTTTAACTGCTCACACTGGTCCAATCTACATACATAGGTGATTTCTAACAATAGTTTATCTATCACTACTACTATCGTAAACTATCTAGTTGCAATAACGGTTATTTTTAACAACTCAAAAGAAATCAAAGACCGATCTAATATTAATTTTAATTAGCTCTGTACTTACCTCCAAACCACTATTTATTTGGAAAATAAACATATATTGTGGACTCTTGGAAGTCTTAAACACATTTTTGGCAAGAGACGAAATCAATAGCAATGAGTGACACTTTTTTGTCGCTACAACAAACTGACACTTGAGTGAAATGCGTAAGCTTAGCTCTTTTAGTTTGCAATTTAAACAAAAAAAGAAAAATATAGAAATCTATAATATATGTATGTACCTACCATATATCTAGTTTAAATATTTGTTTTATCGAAAAGTGAGTAAATTGAAGAACTCATCAAAGAGTAATTATAAATTGTGTGCTACCAAATGCTTTGATTAGATAAAGGCTCGTCTAGTAGTATAAAAATCAAAAGTATGTACAAATATATACACATATGTACAATACATATGTGATGGGTTGACAGACAGCAGTAAGATATTAATATTGGAAAATTCTGACATTTTTAAGAGTTCATTAACAATGTCATATCACTGAGGATTAAATATAAATGTTACTAAGTATGCAGTACAAATGTTTGAAGCCATTCGCTTATAAAAAAAATCTATATTGTAGTAGTATTGCAAATAAGGTTTAGGAAAATTCTTTTCTACGAAATTGTATGCAAAAAGTTATTAAGGCATGTACTTTGCCACTAATAGCAGAAATATAATTAATAATAATATATTTTATTAATAGCTTAAGTGTATGTGCAAGCCGTTGAAGGAAAAAACATTGTTAAAAGGTATATGCTATTGAGATAGCAATATCAGCTGCTGTTGACCGAAAACAACAAATCATTCAAGGTATTTATGAAAATTCTGCGTACTCATCAAATTTATAACATCGCATTATTTTGGTTTGAACAAAGGAGTTGCTTGCCAGCGTTGACGTGACACGCTTATCACCGAAACCAATGATGCTATGCACCGAGACCGTAGCAATATGACATATTCACAACTCTGTTTGATACTATAATCAAATGACTACATACATATATACATACGTAGATAAATGTTATGCTATGCATGTAGGAAAAAGTAGTTTTAGATAATGTTATGTTTGATTTATGTAAATTTCTTCAGCTGCCCCGCACAAGTGTGCGCAAAAAAAGGTAATAGGGTTCAATAACCGTTGTTTTAAGAAGTATATAAAGAATTGTAAAATTACAGTATGGATAGTAGGAAATTTGAGTAACAGCAAATACGACCTTCTTTTTTTTTTGTATATGACGAGATATTTTAACGAAATTTCGCACGAATTATTAATCAAAGCAACGTTAAAGCCTTCGAAGAAATTGTTCAGATCGAGTCTCTATATATAGCATATAGCTGTCATATAAACTGATCGAATAAAATCTAGACAACAAACTTTTTATACCCTTTTATGCTATAAAAACTGCACCTATAATACTTCGGTTCAGCCGGAGTTTAAGTTTTTTCTGCTTTTTATATAGAATATATGAATATCGAGGTTTTTTGAACTTTTAGTTTCAAATTATATATAATTTATAAGTGCGGAGAATGCTTCAGCAAGTAATTCTTATAATTAATTTCAACAACAAATATGCGAATTTACACGTTTTTGTTTATACGTTCTGACATACGAACATATGTTATTTTGAATTGCAGCACACTCTTCAGCATATATTATGCACATACTTGTCTATATACATATGATATACGTAAATAAAATTTGCACAGTGTATCTTTTTTTTGTAAAGTCTCAAATCATTTGTTATTAATTATTTTCAAAGCACTAAGCATAATATGAGACGAATGTTTTTATTATTATTATACATTATTATTATTATTATGCGATGCATATTAATACACAACTAACATTAAACTAACAAAAAAACATTGAAACACGATCGATTATTGGCGGCTTTATTATTTTTTAACTAAATTCAGTAAATTTTCATCTCCACGAATTCTTGTTTTACTTGAGACTAAAGATGAATTTTGTGTACAGAATTACTTTCAAGCGTTGAACTTAAAACAAAACAGTTGAATAAATAAAAAGAAATAGCACAAGCAACGTTTCATTTTGTAAAATTTGTTGTTGTTAATAACCAACAAGGAAATGATATTGTCGCGGTTGTATAGACAAAATACATACATTCATATGGTATATGATGGTAAATATATATGAACAAGTGTATTTTCTTGCTATCATTGCACCTTTTACATATGTTCATATTATATTGATTACACAAAAAACGTTTTACTAACCATTTCACTTGCTAAAGACTATTATAAGCGAAAATAATTATTTATTCATTTATATGGAACTGGAGATTAGCTCTAATATATATTAGCTTCCGCGCAAGTACTACCGACGACTGACTGTTGACATTTCACGTTTAGTAACGCATATGGGAAGATTTCGCAAGCTATCTCACGTACGCTTAATCAACACAAAAATTAAAAATAGTCAATATGCTTGCGGCAACAATTCAAAACTCTCTTAAAAATATTCTCGTATGTATATTTTAGTAAGCAAGTTTTATTGTTGTTTACTGCTTGGTTGATTGATCTTCTTCTTCGTTTCACCTTTTTTTTTACAATTGCAATATCAATCAAGTGACGCTTATATTCTTGTTGAAATGAATTATTGTATTGTCAGCGAATTAGTTTGGCAAATTACAGCCTCGTACATGTGTGAATATAAATATGTACATATATGTAAGTATATACCATACTTATGTATGTATAAACTATTCATTTTCAGACTCTCGCTCTTAGTAGCACCATCAGCCGGTTGTATTGTTAAGTGAGAAAAAAAACACAAAAAAAAAGTAAAGACAAAAAAAAAAAAATTAGGCTCTGATCATTTAGACATGATCATAATGCTCTAAGCACGTTTTTTACGAACGCTGAGAAAAATAAAGCATGGTTTATTTAAAAATAATAATAAGTTAAAATAACGAGCTTTTGTATCGTTCAGGTTAACACTTGGCGCTGGTCAATAAGCAATGGTTCATATGATCTGTAGTTATCAATAAGGATAACTGAAAAAAGGATAATCCACTACCTCAAAATTTTAAAGTGTCCCCTAACCTAAAGATGGTATTTTAATAATATTTGCCAAGTAATGGCTTAGTTCAAACCGTTCAATGAGCACCGTTCAATCGGTCGGTTAAAATCCGGATCCGTTTCTACTGCTGCCATGGCCATATTATACTACGAACTGACACATCCTTCCCTAGATTTGGCTCCATATGCTACTTTTTGTTCATTGTTTTGAAAAACTCATTCGCATTCGAAATTGGAAACGTATGTAACGTTTAGAAATTTGGAGCATCGCTTCGGCAATTGTATCGAGTTAAAATCAGAGTATGTCGATAAATAAGTCGCCATTTGTTTTTTTTTTATTCAATTTACGTTTTTTTATGAAGGCTAAGTACTTGTCGGACTGCCTTCGTACTAAAATACATACATAGGTGTATATGGCTTATCAATGACGTTTTCGAGCCAATAAGTCGTTGTAAACAATATATATTTGCAAACAATGGAATTGGGGTCTTAACAAACCAATGTACTTATGAACACATATACAACGTAGCTCTTAGCGATTTATAGAATAAAAATCGTCAATATTATAAATAATTACAAATTTGATGTTTGTTTAGAGTATACAAGTATATTGTGCATACATATGTATGCAAATTAATATATTTAAAATAATTCAAATATAATATAACAAAAGATCAAAAGACTTTCTAAGGCGCATATTTTCAGTGTTTATTTTTTATACCCTGAACAGGTTATGTTTAGTTAGTCAAAAAACATGTAACATCAAGAAGGACATATACATAAGCATGATGAGCTGAATCGATTTAGCCATATCCGTCGGTCTGTTTTTCATATATCGATTTGAAATCAAATTTGGATGATTTAATGTTTTTTAGAACGGACATCATATAGCTGCCATACAAGCTGGCCGATCAAAATAAAGATCCTTTATGCTATAAAAAATGCACCAGTGAACGGTATTATAATTTCGGTGCAGCTGGTTTCCTTGTTTTATTTTATTTATTTTTTTTAAATAATTACTTATTGAATTATTGGATCAGTCACATTTGAACCAGCGGTGCAAGTACAAAGGCTGGCCAATTGTACATATGTTCATAAGTAATTTCAAACAAATAAAAGTATAAATAATTATATAAAGTACATAGTCATATAGGTATTTATATTGTATAATCATGCTATAGGAATGAGCTTCAAATATGCTATAGGAATGAGCTTCAAATAGGTACGTACCTGATTTGCAGTTGACTGTATTTTGCGTATTTCGAAAAACGATGTATTTGTAAACAAAATATTGCCAATTCATGTGGCGTTGTTTGTAAGCATATACGAGTAGATATATATGCGCCCGAAGCGTACACAAAAGAAAGAAGTATAAATGAGTATTCAGCCACGATCCACTAGCCTCCACTGAAACTGAGTGGCTCCACAGCTTCAACACTACACACGCACCACAATAAAACCAACTTCACAGCTAATTGGTGAAATTTAATTATTATAATACGCAGGCTACTTAATAACAAAAGTGTGGCGTAATAAAATTAATTACTTTCAATTTCCAATAATCCTTGATTTTTGTTGCTCCGATTTCAAACTTCTTCACTTTCTTATTTGAATTTTATACTCCATCTACAATTTAATGCAAATAAAAACAGCGCGAATACACAAATGTAGCAGTTCGTATCACAATCTGATTTGATGAAATTCGTCTTTATTTTCCTCTTTTGTTGACGTTTTTCTCTATTTACAGCTGCTAGCGAATACAAGTTGTCTTTGTTGTTTTGCTATAGGAATTCTACTTGTGCCGTGCGAATAAACAACACACAATATGGCTACTTTTATCAGATAACATGTGGTCGGGCGCATAAACATGGAGCATTGCGTTAATCAGCTGATGTATAAAGAGTGGTGTGCAGAAATGTTGCCACCCTTACTAATATCCAATTAATCAGCACGCAATTGAGGAATTGTGGAGGAGCGTAAGTCAGAAATCAAATTTTATTACAATAAGGTAGCTTAGATATTCAGACGCTTTTGAGAAATAATTTATTTGATAAAAGAATAGAAACAATGTTTTTAAATGTTGACCAATATTAGTTACTTCATATTTTGTAATAGGTTTTTCATGCCATTTTATACAATGGAATTCTTAAAGAACCCTTACCACGATAATATAATGAGGTCTTAAAAGTAAGACAAGTACTATGGTTTTTGTTGTTGTTGTTGTAATAGCAGAAAATATTCCTCACGCAATTTTAAGATATGTTGACGAGTTAACAATCCTTGGCCGGTTATAAATCTGGGCCCATTCCGAACACTTAGACCAGACTGCTTGGAAACGGCTTGTTATATAATAATAGTAATAGAATATATGTAGCACGGGTTCAAGTTGACAAATTATGAATGACTAATCTACCGAAATATATATGTGTGTATGTACGTCCGGTGACAACATAGGTTATGTTGACTTTTGTCGAATGTCGTAACTGTTTTGGAAAATTTTCTTTGTATATTTCTGCTTAGAAACTCTGCAATATAGTGGTATAAGGGACTCATATGTTAGATAAAGATTACTTGTGAGCACCCATTTTAACCAAAACAAGGTATTATTTAGAGGTAGGCACCTATTGAGTAACCCTTTGGAATCAAACTGTTGTATGAAAAACGCCTCCACATGACCTTGGTATATTTATTGGGGCTTGTCTCTACAATGAATAGTTTACAAATATTCGAGCTTTATGTCAGTACAAAAATACGAAGTACGGAAGAAAACTACCACCTTATTGAGGTACCATTTAAAAAGCTCTATGTACATATAATATATACTTCCATTGCATATGTATGTATGTGTACCATTAGTTTAAGGTACACAACATACATTTGTACGTACTTTCTTATACATTAGCCACTATTTTAGCATATAACGTATTTATATAACTGTAAATAGTATATATACACGTGTATGAATAAGAGTTAATTTTTTTCACACCACATGTGGCAGCCACAAAATCCCAACTCACATTCAGCGCTTAATGCAATTCCTGTGTCCACAATTATGCAACACAAATCATTCAGCTGAATCATACCATGCGCACGAGGAGGATTGAACTACCCGATGTGCGCGATTACCGTTAACGGCTAGTTACATTTGAGAGCATACAGTAAATTGCAGCTATTAGAAAACAATTTTCGAACATTTTGACAAGAGTAGATGCCATTAAGTCCACATATTTGCGTGCATATGTAGCTTCTTTGACAGGATATTGTATTCTTTCTTCTTTGCGATAGTTTCTTATAATCGAGTATAAAATGTCGCGTAGCACGTGCAACAAACCTTTATTCGCGCAAATCTTAACGTGAGTGGTGAAAAAATAAGTGGAGATTAGCGGTGGTGTATAAAATTATAGGAATGAATATGTTACGCAAGTTCAGGCATGGCAACCATCCTTCTTCAAGAACTAAATCAGCGCCTAATCACCGTTTTGTTACATTGCTTCTTTTATATTGCGTTTATTTCATTTTCTTAAGAATGAGCGCTGCCCAAGCTGAGGAAGGCGTTATAACGGCTGATAACGGTAAGTTGAAAGTGTCCAATTAGAAATTTAGAAGTACTGTTCTTATGGCTTCCTATAGACATCTCGCACATTGGTGATGATTGCCAAGTGACCCCTGTAATACATGTTCTCCAATATCCCGGTTGTGTGCCCAAGCCAATACCTTCGTTCGCCTGTGTTGGACGCTGCGCTAGCTACATACAAGTAAGTTATATCCATAATATTATTAATTATAAATTATAATCTACCAAGTTAGTGGTAGTCACCTAACAGAGCTAATGTAAATCTTTTGCTAACAAGTCGGTTCTCGGAAAGAAAGCCTCTATTTCTGCTCTGAAAAATCCATCTGTTAGGTGAGAGTAATGGTACAATTATGATTGTTAGTGGTATCAGATATAGTTCCTTCTTCGCGTTATATCCCAATATTTACCATATATAAGTATGAGAATGCTTAAGCTGGCTTAAAGCTTTAGTAGGCGTCTTTGAGCTAAAAGCATAGTATTAATATAATATAAAGCAATATATTGTCGTTTAAATTTCTTCCGTTGCGTTATGTAACTTTCGCTTTCTCTCTTATCATGTTAAATATCGCTCCATTACGTTAACTATTTTCCTCAAATGTAGCCGCTTTCCTATTAATTCATGTCCGATGGTACATATCACTTAGTAATGCTTTTTAAACCCGTCTGAAGGACATATTGTAGAGGTCTGCAAAGTAGGCTTTCGTGGCGCCGACAGTCTCCTCATTCAATTAAAGTTTTTTCTTTATAAAATTTTAAAACAAAAATAATTCATACAGATTCCGACAAGTCTTAAAGATACGGTGGATGTGTCAGCAGTTGGTAACCAATTTCGACCAATTTGGGCGCGGCGTTATCATATTGGAAATGTAAAATTTTTTTCCTAAATGGGTCTGTTTTTTATGCGTCGAATTAGCTCAATAATCTAAAATACACAGCCATGTGACCCATATGCCCGTTATCAGGTTCTTGTGAATCCTGAAAGCGGTGGTCATCCCATTTCAGGCCGATAGGACAGTCTTCGCCTTCTTCGACTGTTCCTTGGCCTCAGCTGTATACAAGGGGATCCAGCTTAAACAGCATTAAATATTGGTGTTAAGTAGTCTCATGGTTACGCTTTCTACTCGGAGATTTCAGACCCCTACTGGCTTAGCTATCTCGCACAAACCTATATTCCACGATCGTCATAGAAGGTAAAGAGTCACCCAATACCGCATCTCAGTGCTCTTTGATTTCCCTTCTCGATTTGATTTCCGAAAAATACGAATCGAATATTGCCCTTTTTAATTTTTTAAAAATTCGCTATACGCTCAGAAGACTAAGATTTTTTATGACATCTCAAAATGCTTATCTTATTTTCGATTAACCTAAGGTACTTTGATATATAGTGCAACTGACTTCTCCTCCATTTACTGTGGAAAAAGTTCATTTTAATTGCATTTTTGTTTAGGTCTCCGGTAGTAAAATTTGGCAAATGGAACGTTCATGCATGTGTTGTCAGGAATCCGGTGAACGTGAAGCTGCTGTCTCTCTCTTTTGTCCCAAGGCCAAACACGGCGAACGCAAGTTCAAGAAAGTACTGACGAAAGCACCACTGGAATGTATGTGTCGCCCATGCACCTCCATCGAGGAGTCCGGTATTATTCCCCAGGAGATAGCTGGCTATTCCGATGAGGGTCCATTAAATAATCACTTCCGTCGTATTGCCTTACAGTAGGTTAAATATTTAATTTACCTTTTCCTACTTAATACATATTTTCTGTTTAGCCAAAATTGGGAAGAATAAATAATGTACTGCATAAAAAAAAAGAAAACAAAATATATTTATATAGCGGAAAGAAATCGCCGCATACATGTGTATATATGAGTATTGATTTTTAATTTTCTTATGCTGAAATAAATTAAGATGCAGAACCACCGATGGGTTATTTCTATATATCTTTTAAAATTCACAACGTTTGAGGACTAAATTGTCGACTCTAAATGATTATTCTAACCACCATAAGCTTCACATAGGCATCTTACAAATGTCAACTAAAATCAGGTTTTCAAAACCTTAACAATTTCTTTATATAATGCTTTTATAGAAGATAGGTTAAGTAGGATAATGGTTTGGGAAGTGTTTATTATCTATTGCGTTCAAAAGTATGACGCAGAAAGTGAAGAATGCTTTTCCGGAAGTTCTGAAGGTCAAGAGGCTTGACTCCTCTGAGTACAGATTTTATGAAAAAAGACTACGGTTGAGCAAATACCAAATATAACACACTTTAATTTCTATTATAGTATTTAAATTTCTGATTTGCAATATAGGAATCAGTATGAGGCTAATAACAGGGTTAAGTTTGGAAAATTAGATAAGATCTCCGAAAAATAGTATATTTATCAAAATGATGTTGGTGGGAGGTTTGAAGTTGATAGTCAACTAAAAGTTCGAAAGATGTGAGATTGAGTATATAGTGTAGCGACTTTCAATACAAAGGGATCCTCATATCGGGTATGGAAGAACTAGGGCAAGTTATGGGACGATTTCGACAATTTTTAGATGAGAGGTGCTGCATGTCAGATGTACTATTTGTGATAAGTTTTATGCCCATATTATTATTTGTACCCGAGCTATCCATTTGAAAGGGAGGTATGAAGATGGCATTCAAAATGGTGTTATATTAGAAATCGACATAGCTGTTGTCAGATTTTTAAACTGGATCTACATAATTTTATAACCGTTAGTGATACAATTTTTGACTTTGGAAGTGATTCTTCTTTCGACGGTGACTGTCAAATATCGGTTTAATGAATTTTAACCAAGAACCAAGAAAGTACTAGAAATCACCGCGACAGTTCTTAGCAAGGTTCATCTTACCGCAATGATGGGAGTTTTAACTGGTCACTGTCTTATTGGTACTCACGAGGTGAGGCTAATGACCTTGGATGACGCAAATTGTTAAATATAGAGGAAAGTCTGGTGGGTACATCTAGACCCTTTCTTTCACTATCCAACTCTTTGCTTTCTATAAACCTGTCAAATTGGCTGGAATTGATTTTAACCGCCTCAACAAATTTGTGACAGGCTTAAGACACTTTGTCGTTACATGGAAGTCTTTTAATCACAACGAACCGGCGTTTCGAGCTATACAAGTGAGATAATTTATGACTTTACGAAAATCAATATGATTTCCTAACCTAACCTAACGTGTTAAATTTGAATGATAACGAAATATTTGAATACAAAATAAATAAACTTATTCAGTTGCAGAACATCTTAAATGAATCAATTTCATTCGGTTTCTGGAACATGCCTGTTTTATAAGTAGATACACAATTTATTGGGGATCACCCACCACTGCCTTAGAATTGAAACTCGCTTTATTTTAAAGAAAATCCCGTGTTTCGATATATAATAAGTTGTGCTTTATTCCGGAATATATAAACAATGTTTTTCGATTTTGACGAAATTAAAAAAGATAGAAAATAACTACGTAACACTCAGGATCGCTGTTGTCGACAAAACGAATAAAAGCAGCAAACAGTATCCGTGTTGATTGAAGCAAATGATCGAAAAGTGGTTCCGGAGTGATGTCGATCGCAGTAACCGTAGCACACGGAAACAGAGACGTGTTGAATGTTAAGTGATCGAGTGTGGTTTTGCGAAAAATCCCGGCTGTCCTGTTGTCCATCCTTTTTGTTGAGTTGGGTAGTGTACAGGTACGGTGTATTGTGTTGAGTGCGAGTGTGGTGTCATCGACAATGATGTTTTCCAATTTGTGATGTATTGGTAATTTTGTGATGGGAAGTATTAGGGTGCGCCAGTTTTTGCCGAGTAGAGTGGTGTGTTTAGTTACTGAGGCTTAACTCATTTAAACACCTGTATATTGAGAACAAAATCGAGACAATTTTTATTTTCTTTTGTATACTAAGTTCATATTGGACCGCCCTCGTATATTTATTCCTGTAACGTCTTCTCACTTCATTTTCTGTCTTTATTATAGTCTGATTTTCTTGAAGTACAGCATCGAGTTTATAACACAAACTAAAGGGTTATACATTTTCTTATGCCATTCGAACAATATTTAAACCTTTGTCAAATTCTGCAAAACAGTTTTTAGATAATATACCTGTTTTGAGTCATAACAGTATTTGAATATAAATAAAACTTAAGAATCATGCACAAACTAAAACTCGTGCTGTATATATAAAACAAGAATTTCGGGGATTTCAACCACAAAAAAAACAATTATTTTCATAAATTAATAAAGCAATATAACGTTTAATAATCAGAGGCAAACAAAAAGCTGTCGTAATTACGTGCTAATAGCGAAACAAAACAAATAATGAAAATCTCTACACTAAAGAAAGAGAAATAAATCGCCTGCGAAAATCCATGTAAATAATTTTTTTTTTTGGATTGTTGTGGTTGAGACTTATGTGCATACGCGCTTGATACTTTTGCCCACATGAGCTTTACAACGTACTTAGAATTTTGCAGTTGAAAAGCACAGCGTTCGCCGCGCAAAAACTGCCACTTGAACTCCATTTCTCCAATTCGAAAACAACGACTCACAAGCATAAGCGATATTTGTCTAATCATCACTTGCCAATATGTATGTATGTGTATTTGTATATATGTACTATGCTATTTGTTGCGCACCGGCAGATCGGCTCCAATGTTAGCATTCGTGCTGGTCGTGGTCAAGAATCGTTTGTAGCTTTGCCGCAAAACATCTTAACTCAAACCTACGGGCAGATACATCAGCTCGTGAAGCGTGTATAAAATCTCTGCGAACACGGTGTTGGCAGTTTAGTCATTCTTCTGCCGTGTGTACCGTCACAATCTGTGTGTTGTGATAATTAGCAAGTTCGTAGCTTAAATCTTTCGTTTAACTCTTGTTTATTATTGAAAACTTTAGTGTGACTTTTGTACGAAATTATTGAAAATACAAAAATAAATAAAAATAAAAACGTAAGCGAGAATTGTCGTCAATGCCAATCTAATAAAGGTTTTCGTTTATTTTTGTAGATATATAAATTTACTGTAATAAACTGAAGTGAGAAGACTCGAAAGTATGAAAGTTTTTGTTGGATGCGCAATTATCGTGGTGGCCTCAGTATTTGCCACCGCATCAGCTGAAGCCGGTGAGTAATCTCTGCAGCATCGTTGCCAGTTAAAATATAAATTAATTTTTAAAGTTATTACAAAGTTTATTAGTGTGTGTGTGTGTGTGTGTCTGTGTGAATTTCCGCATAATAAGCCATAAAACAAAGTGATATTTAAAAACTTCAGTCTTTTAAATTTTAAATTCTTGAATTATTTTCTTTTAGTATTCGCATTTCTCATTTCCATTACATCATCACCATTTTTGGGATTTACCAACGTTAGAGGCATTTCCTAAAGCTCTTGCGTTTGCGATTGCTGATTTGTGCTCGTGTCAAGTTTAAAGTAAGCTCATCAAGTTCAAGTGTATTAACACTTATGAAATTAACATTGGCGTGTTAAGATAATTAAGACTTATTGATTGATAATCACTCATTGTTTCCGTGTATTTTATTAAAACTTGTTATATAGCATAAATGAACATCTCCATCATAATAATTAATAATAAAAACCGCGACTTAAAATAAAATTGCTTACTTTTCAATAATAAACTTTAAAAATGAATTCATTAAATTTTTTGGTAAAACTTCATTATTTTTAATCGCTAAATTTGAAAGGTTGCTCATTCAATGGTTTATTGTTATTACAATGACACCCAAGTCGTTAATTATGTAATTATTATTTCTGCTATTATTTTTAGGATTGCAAATCATGCATTAAAAAGACAATTGAATTAACATTTCAATTGATTTTTTTTTATTTTGTTGTCCCGAAAATCATTCATTCTCTAATCCCAAATACCGGATTAAAAAATAAAAATTTTAATTCCAAGTTTATAAATAAAAATTAAAAAAAAAGTTTTTTTTTGAATTTACTATTTTTCGCGCTTACGTACTGCGTGTTTTACCATTTTGAACTATAGTTCACACAGAGCCATCATATGCAATACTCTAGAGCAGTGGTCGGAAAACTTACACATTCACACCATTTATATTCTATCAATTGTTAATTCTAACTTTGGTTTATTATTATGGTAATTCCGATTTTGGAAAATTAGCAATTAAATTTTAAATTTTTTATCCTAAAACCGGATCTAAAAATATAATTTTAATTCCAAAGTATTTAAATTAAAAAATTGTCAACCCTGGTTACTTGTAAAATAATCAAATTCAACATAGTTTAAATTTAATGTCTTATTTACATTCAATTATATTGTTTCAATTGGAAATATGTAAATAATTTCTTTTTTGCCTTTTTGTTTCATATTTTAATTTGAATAATAATTTTTTATTTGTTATTCCACTGTTGAAATTAAAAATAATAATTTATTGATTTTTAATTCTGATTTTGGGATTACAAATTATATTCTCAATTTGTAAATTCAATTTTTCAATTAAGAATTAAATTTTTTAACTAGAAAATTCGAACCCAGATTATCATATTTGTAATATATTATTATTAAAATTATTTTTTCCCACTCACCAAGCCTTTTGTGTTGTAGATGTCTTTAATAATGGAAAAACCTTGTTCATTTAATTTTTCAATCAATAATATTGTCATGATCTCGGTAATGAACGATGACAAGAAATAATTGTTGTAATAACAACAAAAATTATACGATTTTTTGCGATAACAGGCTTCAAATGGCTAAGCTTCATCATTGAATTCGCTGCAACTGCTCACTTCAAGGTTCGTTAGTCAGATTCACGGCCCGTATTTATTTGCGCACACACTTTACGATATTTCTTGCCGGTTTTTATTTAACTCTTGCTGTACCGTTAGATTATTTTATTGCATAGAGCTTTTCGGATAAGGCGATCACTTTTATACGGTGCTAGGATGGTTTATCACTTAAATGATGACCTTTAAAAAACCGTCATTTGGCGTTATCTCGAGAGAATAAGACAAAGCATATTTAATTAATAAATAAAAATAATGTATATTTACAGAACTTAATTTACTTTAATTTTTTACTACTATTTACTAAAATGTTGAATTGCTTTAATCCCGTAGCTGATCTCCAGCATTACCTCCGACAAAATGTGTCGGTCGGGGAGGAAGACTTTTCTGAGTTAAATTATCTTAATTTCAAAATCCAGAAAAAATATTAATATAATATACAATAAATACAGCTAATAATCTAAGGCAAAATAAAAAAATTTGTTTTGACTATTGCGTTTCTTGTAAAAAAATTTACACTTCAGCGTGTTTAAAAAATCAAAATCATTGTCAAAAAACTTATTTCTTCAATCATTACCTGAAATATATATTTAATAAGGTTGTGTGAAAATATCAACGACTCTGAAAAGAGTAGACGTTACACGATATGAGTCATTAAAAATATACTTTAGAGCTGCACCGAAATTTGTACTCTTTATTGATATTCTTAGACAAAATTTGTTACATAAATCTTACTGCTATTTATACTAACTATTGTCTTTACTTATTACTAGCAGTTGTGTACATACCTATAACATTTCGTTTGTTCTAAGATAATGTTGTTTTGATACATTCTGTTCATTTAGGGAAAATCTTGTTTTGATGTTTGTTTGTTTACAATATTTTGGTGATATAAATAATATATCGATAAATGATTTTTCCTTGGTTTATGTTTGTGTGATGTTTGATATCTAATGTCAATTAGTGTTTACAAAACGAAAGGTTCGTCTGTCAATTCTTTCCATGGAAGAAAAAAGGTAACAGCGATTTCCATTAAAGTCACGGCTACAAAAAAGTTAAAAAGTTTGTAAAAGGGGTTTGTTTGGAGAGTCTACTTTATCACAAACACAAGTATTTGAGTGGCACAAAGCATTCAGTAAAGTTCATTAAGTCATTGAAAACTTGCCTCATGCGAGTCGTCCCTCTGTCTCTGCGAATGACAATAACATCGAAAAAGTTAAAAAAAAACAGCTGTTGGTATCAGAGAGATAACAGAATATCTCAACATCTCATATGGATGAACTCAACATATTTTGGTTGTGATTGACTTTTTGGCCAAACACGAAACGTGAGTCATCACTCAGCCACTATATTCGCCAGATTTGGCTCTCTGTGACTTTTTTTCGGCTGTCGAAACTGAAAAATCCGCTTCGGGGAACGTGTCATGAGTCCAATGACCCAATAAAAGAATTCGCCTAACAAATTGTGCGCGTCGTAAACAAACAGCTACCAAATACATTATTTGATACATATACGATATGGAAGTCACGAACATTAAAATGCTGTACTAACCCAACAAAAGTTTTTTATTGATTCCTTTTGCGCGCGCAGTTTTTCGCTTACATCAGAAATATTACCCTTAGTACTAATATATAATATTATATTATAAATTCTTACTCCTATAAAGAAAACATCTCATCTGTCATGTCAGACAAAAATATATTTTTCATAAACTTACTTCATGATTATCGCTCTCCTTAATGCATATACATACAAATGTATGTACGACTGTAAAGGGGCGTAATCAACACGTCGTTCACGAGTTAATCGTCAATCACATTGACTAAGTTTTATTACAAACTTGAAAATCTAGTCAACGATTATTTAGAAAACATTAAAATTGATTCAAAGTAATATGAAGCATTTCAGCGAATAAATTCAATGAATTTGCAATTACAGAAAACCGCTCCCAAGCACAAGTAAAATATAAAAAATCGTTTTCCATTGATATAAAATATTTACTTACATATACACATACATTCTCCTATCATTCTTCAGAATCAAAACTGTGTGTAATGAGAAGTTCGCTCAGTCTCATTTAAGTACCTGCTTCTATATGCCGCTGTTTATATTAAAGTGCAAATAAAACCGTAAACTACTGAAGATTCTTACAAATGTTTGCAAAGAATAAAAACTAAAAAAAATAAAAAAAATGCTGAAACAACAAACAAGCTTTCTATATCCCATGAACTTTTCTGCGATGCTACGAGCAAGACAAGAAGACCGAGACCAAATTTCGAGAGCTTAGAAAGTTTGAAAATCATTAAAAAGTCAAGAAAAAAATCGTCGATCGTTTTGCGCTGGGCTACTTTTGCCACTAAAGCACACCAAGCGTTTATTTCAGTAAATCTAAATTATAAGGTTTTCACATTTTCTTTTGCTTCTTAATTTGCCGTTTTTGTTTATAGCAAACAGTATAATTTGTATTTGTTGTATTTTACTTTGTGTATATTTGTTGCCAAAATGAAATAGAATAAATTAACCATAGCGGAAAAAACAATAAAAACAAAAAAATATTGCAATCAAACCAAAGTAGCTTAACTAAAAACAAAAAAAAAAAAGAACAAACCAAGCACAAAAGTAAACTTTGTATAAACACACACTGATGTACATGTAAATAAAAAACCCCCACACGGATGCATGAATTTGAAACGAATGTGGCTTTCTATGTTAGACTGCGAAAGCTGTTCAGTCGGTAGTGGATTTAGCAAATTAATTTGCATTAAAAATGCTCGAAATTTGTATACAAAGGCTACATTTATAATAAAAATAATTGACGTCACATGGCATCCATATAAGCTGCCATTTATTATGAAAATACGAGGTTTTTGTATTAAAATAAAAATATATCTAATAATAAATGTAAGATTTTGAAAAATAAAAGTGATAACAATTATATTTCTTGTTTACAGATGCTGGCTTTTTTATACCGAAGGCGTTTTACACGCTCGATGCTGAGGGTCACAAAACACAGCCTCATCCTGTGAGTCCACATGTGAGTATATCCCATTAAATACTTAGTATTAAGTTACGTTAGGTTAAGTTAGGATTCGGGGCCGATTCTTGCATCAGCGATCACGTAGATTTTATTTGAACATTTGAAACACGGATCCTTTGTGATGCCAAAACTCCTACCTATAGATCAAAAGACTTTCATCTATCGACAAAGCGCTTTGAGCCTATTACAAAACTCTTCAGATGACAAATATTGATCCGAACTAATTCGCTCGGCTCGCTGAAGTTAAGATAACCAAAATGTTAAACCTCCGATATCTCTAGATATCTATGACTATTGGTTTTTGTTCGGTTAAAACCATCGAAGCCAAGTCAAGTATAAGACTGAAAAAGGACAGCGGAGCTCCGACTTATTGCTAGTCTGAAGATATCGAGATCAGAATGCGCTTGCTTTCTTGCAAGCTTATTAGACTTGTAGTCCTCAGCGCTACAATATTATTTCGTGAAGTTTCTTGTCTTTTATTTAAAAAGGGTTACTGTAATAAAACCACCTTAATATTGATCTAATAAAATCAGCTGTTTCGTTAAATTTCTATTATCTATTAGAGCGAACGATGCTATTACAAAAGCTCTGAAGAATTTCTAGCAATAAAATGCCTTTAGTTAAAAGCGTTAGTCATTCGAAACTGTTTCAAATCCTTTAAAATACATCGCCATTTGTCGAATAAGATCGGCTAAATATCTAACTACTTGTAGGATGTTAGCACCATGGTATTATCATATAACTACTCGTATTCTGTTAGTTTTGTAACCTTTAACTGGAATACTCCACATTAATCTAACTCATTAAACATTTCTTTAAATTATATTGAAATTAATGTATTCTTCTCCACAGACTGCTCAGTATTTGCACCGCTTGCGACGACAAACTTTTAGTTCCTCATCATCTTCGTCGTCTTCGTACTCGTCATCTGGTAATGGACGTCCTATTGTTTTTGGGCATGTTAGCACAACCTCAACCAATCCAAGTGGAACCGTGAGGTAAGAAGAATCAAGTTGATTGGGAAATATAGATTGGGAAATATTTATAGAAAGTACTGATTGGATATTTTGATTTGACAACATCTTTTCAATAATAGCTGGTATTTTTTTGCTAATAACCGGTGAGTCTGAGGCCATTGTATTGATGTATCTTCACAAAAAGTAGTCTACCGAAATTAAACCGCATGATCAAGGTGCCAATTGATAGGTACTGCTGGAATCTCTTAGCTCTTTTATATTGATGTGAGCAGCAAAAATTGTGGACATTCATTTGAATATCGTCCTGTTGGCATCAGAGAGATAGCAGAGGATCTCAACATCTTTTATGCATGAATTCAAGACATTTTGTTAATCTTTTGCGTATAAAGCGTGTCAATGCTAGGCTCGTACCAGATGACCTGAATCTTTTGTTAAAAACGACTCGAGTAGAGGTCGCAAAAGAGACGCTTAACAACGTTGCTGAATACCATATATTCATCAAACGCATCATTTGATAGGTTAATGAATATAACGTTGAAACTTTTCAAAAATCTGGTGAATGACGCTCCACAAATAAGCTGACCCCGAAAAAATCAAAATTCGCTGAAGGCACTGAATCCATAAGGGGCTTATAACAAGAGTTCGGACAACTGGAATAAGCGATAATAAAGATTTGTGAAAATATAAAGATTTATGAAAATATATATTATTTTGTCAGTCCGGATATGTTTTTACGTTATGCATACGTTTAACTAATGTTTATGGCTGTATATGGAACCTTATTCATATTCGTACTGCTGTTGTTTTAGACAATTTGAAAGACTCTAAATTAAAAATAAGACCTTTTAATTTTTTGTCTTAAATAATTAAGAAATATATTTTTGGCAAACATTTGAATTATTTTTTCCATTTTATATATTCCTCAGCATATTAAACCGCTTTGGCGACGACGGCAGTTCATCAACAAGTTCACACAGTTTACCCAATGGGGCTGTTCACTATCCCATGGGAAGTAGCAATGGATATAGCGACGACTACAATAATGGTCAATATGATAATAATAGCAACCAATATGATAACTATGATGACAATACAAACACTGGTAATTACAACAAGGTACCACATTATTCATCGGTCTCTGCCTCTTCATCGTTGCAATCCAACGGCGGTCCGGTCGTCTTCAAAACCGAACAGTCGGTGACATCGAACAAGGCAAAAGCTAAGTATGTGCTGCCTCGTATCTTAAATTCTCAAGTTGACTTAATAAAAAATATACATTTTCTTTTATAAAGTGTTCAGAATCGTTTCGGCGGTGATGACACACCTCAAACGGTCAGCAAAACAGTATCCACTACCGGTTACATTGACGAGAAGGGCGTTGTACATTCCAAGACAACTACCTCAAAAAATTAACTTAATTTAATTGCATTTTTAATGTACTCGTAGTATTTTTTTATTCACAAGAATTTTGTTTGCAATAAAATAGATTTATTCTAAAAACTTTTAATTGTAGCAAATATATTTTATATCTGCGGAAGGATCTATTTATTGTTAATATTATATATGTCCAAAGACAGGTTTTGTTTTTGACTATTTTATAAATAATATATATACAACAAAATAGAGAATGAGCTGTGGTCGTTACACTAATAACAAGAGGGTTTACAAAATATAATTGTCGTCGACTAGTTGGAGAACGGTGAAATGAGCACAGGGCTGTACTATGCAGAATTATTGCGCCGATTTTCAGAAAAAACGCCATTATTCTTCGAAGAGAAAAATGCTCTACCACTATGACGGCACATCTGCTTACTCCTCTAGCCATCCACACGGCCGATTATTTCAACACCGCGCAACTCACTCATATGCTCAATGCATAAGAAAAGGATCAACGATCATACGTACACAAGAGTTTGGATTAGTGTTGTCAATTGGGTCTTAAGAAACTTATAGAAAATTTAAAAGAAATCTCTGATCGCGCTGTTGGGTAATTAACCGGTGACTTAACCGATAAGTGGCTTGCAGAGATGGTAGCCTTAAAATCATCTCTTCATTCCTGGCTGGGTTGCGTGCATGTGGTTTCGAATTTGTAACTGCAGGCAATTTTTAAAATAATATACAAGTTATTAAATGTAACTATTTTTTACACTTTAATTTGGTGTTGGATGCGTTAGAAAGAATGTTAAGAAAATATTTACAATTAGTTAAGAATTTTTAATGTTTTAAAATGCCGGCAGCATATAACCTTAGTTATTCATACATGCAGCCGTAATGCAGATGGTTAGACGTCAGGATTTTTTTTGCTTAGATGTATAGGCATTATAAAATTAAAAGTAAAGTTTTCCATACAAGAACTTGATTTTAATCGGTCAGTTCGTATGACAGCTATACGAGTGCGAAAAATTTCAGATCGATATCTCAAAAACTGAGGAACTAGTTCATACAGGAGAACAAACGAACAGTCGGATAGGGCTAAATCGACTATATCCGCCGATCATTTATATATATTTTTTATAGGGTCTCTGACGTTTCCTTCTGGGTGTTACAAACAAACTTTCCGGCAAACTTAACTGGGTATAATAAAAGCGTATACAAGCCGTAACATATATTTGTACAATATGCAGTCAATCTTTATTATACCCACAGCGTTGGCTGTCACCAGAATTTATAATATGTATGTACATATATAAGTTTGATAAAATGTTGAATTGAGTCAATAAAATTATAAAAATACAAGCAGCGTTAATATACGTATATACAAAAATTACGTAAAAAAATTAATTAACACCACGCGTAGAAAAGTCCATTGATAAGACTTATGGAGTTAACCGAAAAAGCAGTTAAACAGCTTATAGACGCCACTTTCGATTTTTTCAGGTATTTGTTAAGTCTATTATTAAAATATTTGGAAATGTTTTTTTTTTGTTTTTGTTTTTTGTTAATTCGGGTAAAATTAGAACAGATGGTACACTCATTTGGTGGAAGAAATATTTTATATAAGAAGCCTACGACGCATAAAACTGCCTATAATATTCTTACATCTTATTAACATGTTATGGATATTGTTACACATATGTATATATATTTTTTTATTTAAAGAATTGTCTTCAAATACTCGTCTTGAAATACTTACAATTCTTTGAGATAACCTCTTATGGCCTTATCAAAGTTCGGTTGGGTCATAAGAGTGGCCATCATAAGTATTATCCTCCCTCTCCTCTTTTCATATGGACTAGTCAGCGGTTTTGTGCTTCTAGAGGCTAATTCATATTCATTGTAGAGCTAAAATAATATATATAAATTATGACAATATAATATCAATAAAGTCATAAAGTACTCAAGTAGCCGCGAATGCCTCACTTAACCAGAAATAACAACTACTTTTTAATTATTGTAGCAATTACTTGTAAATCATCAAACCCCAGTTCTCCACTGCCACGAAGCCTATTTTGCAGATCTCGCGAAAACGGGATATGTTGGGACGTTATCACTTTTACTGAACTGTCTCCCATATTGACCGATATATAATATAATACAGTCAATTATAAGGACGGAGATGCTTACTTTTATGAATGACCTGGATCTACTACTAAAGGGTGTTTTTTAGACATGTGGTTTTCAAGAATAAATGAAACGCATATAACTTAAGGTTATGTTCAATAATTTAATTTTATTATAAAGATAATGATTGCGGACAAGTGACCGTCCCGACTGGCTCGACTAAGTTCCAGCCGAGCGGTCAAATTTTCGTTCACTTTTTGCAGCGATTAGGGCCGTATGTCAGAAACAACGCGTGAATCTCTCGAATTCACAAAACCCCACAGAAAATAGTCTAGCGGGATATAGTTATAATGCGCATACCAAAAGTTTCCTTCTATAAATTGATTGCTTCGCTGGTTGTAGCATGTAGAGCCATCTTGTTGGAACGAATTGTCGTCCACATCAGCATCCTCCAATTCAGGCACGAAAAAGTCATTTATCAACATTTCTCTTTGCTAATAGAGCACACGAAACAGTGACTTTTTGAGGATGTAACGGCGTTGCAACAGTGGCTTGTTTTTATGATATATATGATTCCCAAAAAAAAAGGCTAAAAACTTGCCAATAACTTTAAGCACTGTGGATGATTTTCTTCACATTCAGCGATAGTAAAGTAGTTGTGCTTGGCATTAACTGGATACTGTCCGATGGGTGTTGAGGCTAAAAATATTATTGGGCCAAAGTTATATGGATGACGAAAATATCCTGATACTTTCTCCTCCACTGTCCAGCTTTCTGGGTTTCTCTAGACTTTGAAGTTTCTTTCAGTTGAAAACAATTAATAATTATCAACCATTTCAATTTTTTCATTAAAACATACAATAATTTAAAAAAAATACAAATTTAACAACCAATTTTGCTAAAATGGTTCATAAACTTCATAAACTTAAACGCTAAAGAAACCTATGCACAACGCTTACGAAAATCAACAAAAGCGCAGTTATGCTCTTTAAGCCAGCACCATTTCGCCTCTCTAAGTACTGTAGTAGCTTTGGCAGGTGCATATTTGCCCACTTAAGATTCGTTTCGACATTAGCAACCGCGTCGTGAAGTATTGAAATAGAAGAACCGAAATGTAAGCTGTGCGCCTCCACGAAATCCTCCAGCAACTTTTGCTGCTTTGGCGTGGTTAAGTAGTTCGCGATGTCATGAATTAAGTTAGCAAGGTTCGACCAGCCACCAATTCTGAAGCAAAATGAGACATTAATGAAAATATATATCGCTTTAAAGCATCATAAAATTAATACCTGACTACCAAGTGGTCAATAGTAGTGGTGATCATAATGAGGATAGCTTCCACATTTTCGGGATTCTGTTTATACATTTCCGTTATACTCATACTGGTATATTCACTTGGTATATCACCGCTGAGTATTCTGATGTATTGAGTTTCATGGAAAAATCGCGTACAGCTCATTGCTCGCATGAGCTTCTGTTTTTCACTAATCACTTTCTCATTTCGGAACCATTCGTTGAGAATTCCATAATAGGTCAGTTGGCTATCCCTTATGGCATTACAATAGAGTGTTTCACGAAAATCTGGTGTCGGCTTAGAGCCAGTTGCTTTTAAAGCATCGAAGTGCTGCTGCGCTTCACGATCACATTCGAACAAATGATATTTACATGCCCAGCTGATGACCTTATTGCGATTGTAAATGTCGAGTACTGTGTCATTGCTTCGTGTAAAGCCCAAATGTTTATATATATTAGACATAATATCTTGCAAGTATTTCACAAACAACTTTTGTTGTTCTAATGTCAAGCGTTGCGCTACGCGTTGCAAGTTCGAAAAAAATGCATACCAAGGTAAATATTCGGTTTCATACGTCAGGTATTCCGTAAATTCAAATACCTTATCGTAGCCCAACATGCCGACGCGTGCGAAATTGAATAAATCATCGATCAGTTGCGCGCGATTTATGATTGGTATGCCGCTGTGGTTTCTTGTGGACAGCGCCGTTTTAAGCTGCCACAATAAGGTTTTGTCATAGAAGACACGATAATAATTCGACTGTTGTAGATTGAAGAGTATCCATTTGTAAGGTTTGTCAAAAATTAAAGACAGGTCGCTGTCTTTTTGAATGTAAATACGTGCTGTCAGGTTATCAAATTGGCGCTCATTGTCAGTGGTATAGGTAAGTGGTATAGTATATGTGAGTATGTCAGTCTTAGCATCACGCGGATCCAGCAAAAAACGCTTTTGAGTTAGATTGATTCGACCTACAGCAATGACATTGACAAACAGCACTGGATATCCGACTTGTTCGGTCCAATCTGAGAAGAACTGTTCCAAATGAACTTGCGGCAAGGAAGGCCAATAGTTTTTCAAGTGTTCGAAGAGATATTCTGGTTTGGTGTTTTTCAAATGACTGCCAGGCATAAAAGTGATTGCAACGTATTTTTTTAGTAGAATATAGTGATATAATAAATGTAAATAGTTATAAGACATTTAAAAACTAAATAAAATATAAGTATTGACCAACATATTATAACGTATATATTATATATAAGTTGATAAGATCGTATGCGCATAAAAATTATTTGACGCACCTAAAATTCGCTGTCACTGTAAATTTGTTTACTTAAATTGGTATGTTTAGGTTTCTACAATATATTATATATATGTATATCTATCCGAATATGAGCAAACTTTTGCAGGTTTTTCACTCATGAAAAATCTGCTTAAAGGATACATTAGCCATTTGCAGTTGGCTTAAAAGTTGCAGGTCCCATGCGAGGCTTATAACATAACAAGAGTTAGGAAAATTGGAATAAACGTTGGCATGCTAATATAGGATCAGGAGCCTATTTTGAAGGTAATAATAAAGTATCAAAATACATAAAAATATATTTTTTTGTTAACAGTCCGGGTCAAATTTGGTCACATGTTAACTAATTGGGCATCAAATTACTTCATTGCGTACCTTAAGTTTAGATGCTTGAAAATCATCTCTATTAATAAGGCTAGAATAATGAAATTATGTATACTCTGCATCTTTGAAAAACTTACTATTCTTTGAGGTAGGCGCGAATGGCGTTATCAAAATTATTGACTCCCATAAGATTCGCCATCATACGCAGAATAGCGGCGCCTTTCGCATAAGCGATGCTGCTAAATTTATGTCCGATTTCTTGTGGGGTGTTTATACTTGTGGCTAGACTGGTCATCGGTTGAGTGGCGTTTGTAGCGTCTATCTCAAATATCAAATGAATTTGATTTACAACAAATTGTTGATCTAACTGATACTCCGGATATAGCTATCAGATCATAAAATATAAATGTAAGAATGCGTATGAGCGTTCGCCGGGAGTCATATAAAATAATCCCAAAATAAAGCATTTATGATGCGTACCTTGTTCGCCAAAAAGTATTGATAGTAGCGTGCAAATCCCTCATTTAACCAGAAGTAACTCCACCATTCCATTGTCACACTATTGCCGAACCACATGTGCGCTGTCTCATGCACTATTATGGTAAGCGTGTACTCTTTGTTTGACCAGCCATCAGTGTAGCCAGGTTGGTTTACTAGCACATCGTCCCTAAATATTTATCATGTGATTATTAGACACGAAGGTATTAGATACTTATAAACATATGTGCCCTTAATCACTTACTTATATATAATTAAACCCCAATTTTCCATTCCATTATGTGGAAATTTCGGTGATCCAGCAAGTTGCATCAGAGGTAGTCCTAATTGCTTGTATGGTTGTCGGGTGTATTCGTCGTAAGCTTTGATAGCTCGCTCCGCCACTTCGTAAGCAAAGAGCGTATAATTTTGATATTCTGCACGCGTAATTACTTTAAGATCATCACTGCCATATTGTTCGTGTTCTGAGAGGAGAAACGCAAATAAATATGTGGACATTGGTGGCGTCGCAGCAAAGATGTCCAAGTAACGGTCAGCGCTGGAATTGAGAGCATATGACATATAATTGAATTGTTATTTAGAAATTGTTAAAAGTGCATTAAAATTTCTTAATTTTATATTATATATTGTATTATATAATATTATGTATTCTGTATACGATATTCTATGTTCTCTATTCTGTATTCTATATTAGACCTTATATACTTCACATTTTGTACTCTATAATGTACCTAATCTATAATATGTACTATATATATTTTACATTCTATGTTCCATATTCTCTACACAACTATGAAGTATGTATATCCTCAAGCACTCACCCATCTGGTATACTCTCTAATAACTCTGTATTGAACACAGTCTTGTATTTCGCTGGGCGACTCATTTCCAAGCGGAATGTGGCTTTGAAGGCGGGCTCGTCAAAGCAAGGGAATATGGAGCGTGCATCGATGCGCTGAGATTGTGTTACTCCGATCCATCTGTAATTTGATGCAACAAATTATGCTTTAAAGATTTAGATTAAGTTTTACGCACTTTTCCAAGCCGGTGTCGTCAGTGTAATTGGCGCGGAAAAATCCTTGCATACCATCACGTATTTGCCCCGTGTACATGAAGCGTAAGATGTATTTGTTGTACTGCGTTAGCTGATCTTTCAAAGGCACTGTTAACTTTTGTGTTATATCATCGAAGGTCAATTCATCTTTAGTAAATGTCTGTATGAGTTGAGCGGACTTGTTGTTGTTGTTGTACAGCCAAGCACCAGTTATTTCAATAAGATTTTTATGTAAAGTGATTTCCTGCGCTTTGCTGTAATGCAACGTTATGTTAACTTCACCATTAAAAGTGTATCGACGTGCTCCATCGCTGACCAAGAGATATGGTCTTAGCCAAATATCATATGCTACGGGCATAACATTCCTGGCTAAGCGATATGATACTTCTGTGGCGTCAATAATGGCAGCGCTGCATCCCAGCAGCAGCAGAAACGTTGTTATTAGAATATTCATTAAATATACATGTAAACACACATGCACTAATTATACGGTACAAATGATCAGCTTTAAACACAATATAATAAAAATTAAATCAATTGTTAAATTAAAAAGCAAACAAAAGAAAATAATGAAAATTGTTGCGAAAAATCCCCTTTGCGCTAAACTGTTCGCTCACAGTGTTGAATGTGTTCTGCAAGTTCTCTTATAATTCGCCACCTGTTTAATGGCCGGCTATAGCTGTTTAGCGGAGATAAATAGCAATCAACAAAAATAAACAACTGTATGCATGTTTATTTGCAAAAAAACAGTCCCGTCCATAAAAATAGTAAAGCAAGTGTTAAATACATATGTGTTAATAAGTTAAAGCGGCTAAGTCGATTTTGGCTTAAGTACATTTTTTCTCTCTTTCTCTTAAAAATCTGTGTGTACCCTTTCCTCTATTTAATTACAATTGGAAGCTTCTGATTCTAAGCTATTGTTTATGATAGATTACAATGTCGAGCGTCGATAATAGATATCTCAAGGTATGTATATGTGTTAACTTAAATCTAGTTAAGCTACTTTAACATATTATTATTTGAGTGAACTTATTTCATAAATTTTTTAGAATTTACAAATTTTATATAGTACCCAATAAACAAAAGTACCTTTATAGATTACGGTCAAGATGGAATAGATAGATGGGTGTATATGTACCAAAAATAATATCATACAACATGCCGCGTTAACTATTAAAAAATTTGCAGGAATAAAAAGATACTTTTATCCTCTTTTAAACGCACTTTACTTCACGCAATTAAAATTAAATTCCATCTGATTGTTTCACTTCCCAGTATACAAATCCCGAACCAATCAATGTATCCGGCTGAAACGAATAGTGCTTTTGAGATGTACCACTTTATGACTTAAACTTGTCAAAATCAGACTAGAACTGTTCAAGCCCCCGGAAAGCGAAAATGGGACTCCAGTTCCTATTGCGAACAATAAATCGAAAATTTCGGTCAATATGTGAGATTTATTATAGAAATTCGGAGAGAATTATTTTCAAATGATAGTATGCCTGCATGTCAGAAATGGGTTGAATCGGATCAATAATGCCTTTAGCTTCCATATGCCTAATAGAAAGATTTTTGAACTTCCGACTGATTTTGCTTTATAAAACTAATTTATTAATAATATGTTCAGGGATATAATAAGATACAAATTTGATTATAACCCATTCACGATTTCGTTGAATAATGAATGTTGAATTCTTTTGTAATATTTTTTCATTATGAAGTTTTGCCAACACTTGAACGTATTTTTCCGGCCTTGATTCTGGCAAGTTGCAAAAGTATGAAATGTTCGGTTACACCCAAACCTAGTCCTTCCTTTCTTGTTACCGATCAGTTTGTATGGCATCTATGTGCTATAGTGTCCAATCTGAAAAATTTGTTTGGAAATTGCGTCACTACCTTAGACAATATCCCAAGCCGAATGTCGTGAATATATCTCAACAAATGAAAAAGCATTTGAATCCGATTGTTCAGTTTGTATGTATATATATGCTTTAGTGATCCTATATAGGCATTTCCGACAAATTAGCAGCTTTTTAAAGAGAAAAGGACGTGTGCAAAATTTCAGATCGATATCTCAAAGGCATAGGGACTGGTTCGTGTATATAAAGACAGAAGGGCAGACAGGCCGACACGGCTAAATCGACTCTGCTCGTTACGCTGACTATTTATTTAATATATGTATATACTTCATTGGGTTTCCGACGTCTCCTTCTGGATGTTGCAAACTTCGTAGCAATTAATATACCCCGTTTCGGTTATAAAAACCAAACGTTATATGGAGTCTAATGGAACCTATTTTGAATAAATAGCAACTTTCAAAGATAATATAATGTCTATTTCATGCTGTATACAAAATGTTGGGTGATACCTCGTACATAGGTGAAAGCTTATGTTGCTGAGGAAAGGAATTGACTTCAACGTCCACTCGTAATAGGCAATTAAAATAAATCTGGGTAAGTTTAAAAATGTTTGAGTTGAACATGAATTTGATCATTTTGCTCATTCTCTGTATGCAAAATAAGGGAGTACAGGCGTGGTTGCTTTTAATGAAAAAGATGGTATAAAACTTAACAAAAAAACCAAGCTTGGTACTTGATATTTGACCGCCTAAAACCACTATTCAAAAATTGTTTAGCAGCAGCGCTGATGAATAACTCACGAATGTATCTGTATGAACACAAAACGACATTTAAAAAAACTGCTGTTATAATGAACGGAATGTATAAATGCAAAAAAACGTTCATGTAGAAAACTTTTCCGATTTTTGTTTGCATGCCCTCCTTTTACCGTAAATCCCTCCAATATCAGTGTCTCCATTACGTCTTTGTTTTCTAATGTGGGTACAGTAAATAATGTTTTCAGTTGCTTACCTGGTTGTTGTCGCTTCTTTATTGCGCTTATTGTCTCATTAATATTTTCCTGCCATTTTTATGATAATTTCGGCAATAAAGAACCAAAGTACAAATAAACAAATTGTATAGCTATCGATGGTAGGTGATAAGCAGACCAATTTTTACAGACATACATATGTATGTATGTAGATCAGAATGTAACAAATTTGTTTGGATATAAGCAGTTTTTTAAGTGAGCTGTCTATTGTGCTAAAACTGTTAATTATCAGTAAGCAAATATTAAGAAATATATAAAGAGTTTTAGAGACTTTATTCGTATTTACGTGACATCACAATTTACGTTCAGTCGTTTGGGTATAGTGATTCTCACCTAGCATAAAGAGTTTAGTGGCTAACGTTTATATACAGAATCAAGGGTCACTATCCGTTATCCACTATCCGCTATGTATTACATTAATATGTAAACCTTGAATAAATTGACCAACCTCGCATGCCAATGATCTGTTGATTTCTTTTGAAATAACCCATCAAAAGAAGAAAGGGGAAGTCAAATCTGGGGATTTATTTTTAACATAACATATTTGATTCGCAGAGCAACATATTGTCATGCTGTTGAAACTTTTAAATATTGATTCCATTTTTACGCATATATGGGCACAGCCAATAAGTCAACATACATTGCATTCCACTGAAATCGTCGCCGCCAGACAAAATAAAATGGATCCCATCTCAATTTGATTTCAGAAACCAGGTTCAGTTTTAGTCATTAAAGCGACTGTTCGCTTATTGTTTTTGCAGTGAAGCATTTATTGTTTAGAATTTTAGGATTGGATTGAAACTTAAGTATGTTCAAATTAAGAGACAAAGAGGTCGATCGCCCCACGTGATCTGTCGACGACCATCTATCAACGTACTAACTGCACAGTATCAGTGTGATCTAGGCATGGAAATGAAACAAATACAGTTGTCAAAGAAACAGAATTAAGCCCAGGAAATCCGAGACTTTTCAGTCGTATTTTCCAACTAGCGCCGTCGGCTTATGCTTCAAACAGTCAGCGACATTCCTCTCTTCCGTACTTACCGCCAGTATCAAACCAAATTTTCAAAAGTCTGATACCAGCACCGTGCTTGTCCAAAATAATATACTGCCTCTTTCGATTGTTATAAAGCTCATATTCGTTTTATTCACAAGAAATTGGCTTAATGACATTTCAAATTTTACTCCATAATTACATATATACAAATGTATTTACAAACAAACTAAAAAGAAGAACGTATTTTTATCTAGATTTAATCTAATTGTTAGAACTACTGTACGCAACTACGTGTAAGTATGTACAACCAGGAAGCAGGAACCAAACTTACTGCAGGAAGCGACCAACGAGAGCACATACAAGCATGGTCAGAATGGCAATTGTGTTGGTTGCAGCGCCGTTGCGGTTATTTAAATAGGTCCTAAATTGTCCCAACTTATTTGTGGCCCATACTAAATTCTCTTCCACTGTGTTTTCAGCTGACACAAGTCTGGACTGGGCGCTGCCAAATTTATCCTTGTTCTGATCGTTGAAAGCCTTCAGGCTCTGTTTTTCACTCTCGGTGGTAAAACGAGAGGCAATATTAGAGATTACAGTGGCAACGGAAGAGTAGCTACCCATTCGGCAACAAAAAGAAGAATTAAATAATTAAATATCATAGTTCCAATCTTAGACTTGAAGATCAGAACTTACGCATCCGCCAGTTTTTCATAGTTTTCCGTGACCAATTTGAAAACTGGACCGACATTCTCATTATTTTCGGTGTATAGACTGGACAGTGCACTCGATTTATCCTGACGGCGAATATCGTCACTCAGAATGGCGTTGAAATATTTCTGAATCAGGGTTTCATCTTTAACACAACCCAATGTACTGAGTATCAGGGTTTGTTCAGTCGCTGAGTTACTTGTCAAAATTTGTTGAACAATGTATCGTAATCGCTTTCATTGCCGTAACGCAAAGCATTACAGTATACAACCGAACGGATATTCACAGGCACTGGAGTTGTATTAATTTTGCAAAATATTCTTTTGATTTGCTAATACACTCTCATTGCCGAACTTGCAGGACCACGATAGCACCTTTGCACGAGTATAGATATCCAAGGCACTGTCGAGGTACTCTCCACAAAGCCAAGCTTGTCATATGCCGTTTTCGTTAGTTCAAGTATGTATTCGGAAAATTGTTTAGTATCGCTACCAAGGCGAATATTTATGTATGAGAAACCATTAAAGGCCGAAGTCCAAGGAAGGTAATTTGTTTCACTCTCCAAATACTCGAGCACTTCCAATGCTTTGTCGTATTTCAAGATATCAGCACGCGCCAAGTTGAGCAAATCATCGACTATTTGAGCACGATTGAGTTCGTGAATGCTACCC